AGGGAAAAGAGCCAGAGAGTTCAACAATTAAGGACATTGGGGAGGAGATTGCTAGAAAATGTCAGGGGGTTCCTCTTGCTATAAGGACCATAGGACGGATGTTGTACTCTAAACATCAAGAAAGTGAGTGGTTGGCTTTCAAGAGCAACAAGCTTTCAACAATAAGTCAAGAAGAAGATGTTATTATACCAACACTTAGGCTGAGTTATGATGTTCTCCCATCACATTTGAAACATTGTTTTGCTTATTGTAGTTTGTTCCCGCCTGATTATGAGATTCCCGTAGAGAAATTAATTAAGTTGTGGGTGGCACAAGGGTTCGTTAAGTCTTCAAATCCTAATGAGTGCTTGGAAGATGTTGGTTATGAATATTATAACGAACTAGTTTGGAGATCTTTTTTCCAAGAAGAAGAAAAAGATGAGTTTGGTATAATAAAAAGCTGTAAAATGCATGATCTCATGAATGAACTTGCTGTTAAAGTGGCAGGGGAGGGAAGCAGAATAATAGATCGCAATAAGACTGATTTTGATGCAAAACGTCTTCTTCATGTATCTTTCGATTTTGATGTTGATTCGTTGGAATGGAAAATACCGACATCCTTGCTGGAATCAAATAAGCTAAGGACTTTTCTTTTCCTAGGATATAGCTCGATGCGGCCGAAGTTATTCCATAAGTCATTTTGTGCTACTATTGCTTCAAATTTTAAGTCATTGCGTATGTTGAGTTTGGATGGATTGAGAATTACAAAATTGCCAAAATGTCTTAAGAAAATGAAACATTTAAGATATCTTGATCTTAGTTTAAATCCCATTGAGAGACTTCCAAATTGGATAGTAAAACTTCAAAATTTGGAAACACTAGATCTCAAATTGTGTCAGTCTCTTGTGGAACTGCCTAGAGATATTAAGAAATTGATCAACTTGAGGCATCTCATTTTGGAAGGATGTGTTCGATTGGCTCAAATTCCTCCTGGATTGGGTGAATTGACTCGTCTTCGTACTTTGAGTAAATTTGTTTTGAGCAAAAACAATTCCATGTTGAGGGACAGTGCAGGGCTCAGTGAGTTGGGGAAGTTGAAGGATTTAAGAGGAGAGTTGCAGATCAGAAATTTGAGGTACAAGAAAGATATGGTGTCAGAATTGAATTATGATGGTGCAGTTTTGAAGGAGAAACGACATCTCTATTCGTTGACTTTACATTGGATGGGCATCGAAAGAGAAAATAGTGATGCGGTTGAGGAGGAGAGTGATGTAATTATTAAGTCAATGGAAGCGCTGCAGCCCCATTCAAGTCTAAAACAGTTAGCCCTGGTGTGCTATATGGGTGCGAGGTTTGCGAGTTGGTTTCATTCTCTCACAAATATTGTTAATCTCAGATTGTATGGCTGTATTAGATGCCAACATCTTCCACCGTTGGATCATTTACCTTTTCTTAAGAGGCTTGAGCTTCGCTGGTTAAGGAATTTGGAGCACATATCAGCAGAGGACAAGGTTAAGGACTTTGCCGGTGATGAGATGATGATGATGTCAGCTGCTTCTCCATCGACGACCTTTCCCGCCTTAGAGCGTCTTTATCTATATGATTGCCCTAATCTCAAGGGATGGTGGAGGAATGAAACAGCTTCGGCTTCTTCATTTCCTTGTCTTTCTTCTTTAGAGATAGAGAATTGTCCTAACCTAACTTCCATGCCGCTATACCCAAATCTTGATAGACTGATGTTAAAGAGAAGCAGCTGGAAGTTCCTTCCCTCCTCCTTTGTTCTCTCCAAATTAAAATTAAAATCTCTTCGGATTTGGAGCGTTGAGGATATAGAAGAAAGGATCGCCAACCTCACATTACTTCAGGAGTTTATAATTTATAATTGCCCTAATTTGGTATCACTACCAGAAGGGATCGGCAACCTCACATTACTCCAGCACCTCGAAATTAGTGATTGTCCTAAATTGGCATCACTGCCAGAAGGGATCGGCAACCTCACATTACTCCAGCACCTCAAAATTAGTGATTGTCCTAAATTGGCATCACTGCCAGAAGGGATCGGCAACCTCAAATCACTTTCCAATCTTCGAATTCGATGCTTCCCCAATCTGGCATCACTCCCAGAAGGGCTTCGATGCCTCATCTCCTTACAGGATCTGAAAATTTATGATTGCCCGAAATTGGCTTCACTACCAGAAGGGATGGGCAACCTCAAATCACTAAAGTTCCTTTGGATATCGGATTGCCCTAATTTGGCATCACTCCCAGAAGGGCTTCGTTGCCTCGCCTCATTAAAAAGTTTGAACATTTGGAAATGTCCCATGTTAGCACAAAGATGCCATAAAGGAACAGGTGAAGACTGGTCCAAGATTGCTCACATCCCAGACATTCGCATTAATCCAGAAGCTGGTGCGTTTTTCTAACTAATTTCTTTCTTTTGCATTGACACTTTCATTCAAATGGCAACCAACCTCAGCTTGTTCATTTTATTCTTTTCCAGCTCCATCTTATATGTTTTTCTAAGGGTTGGGTCAGTGGAAATTGGGTCCCCACTAAAAACTCTTATGGCTTGATTGTGATTGTGCAACAGCAGGTCACCAAGAAAGTGGTATGTATGTATTAGATGATGAGCCCTTGATCCTAACATTGTTTTGTTGTTGGTATGTTTACATGATAATAACATTCGGTTTTGTTCTTATTTTTCTTTATGGATATGCAGTGATTAAAAGAAGAAACTGATTAGGCATCCTGACTTTAATCATATAAGTGACTCAGTTGTACATGTGATGAATTTAGGTAATTCTAACTCTCAAATTTCGTTATGGCTTTTGAAATTGGTGTCTTTGAAAGACTTGTACCTTGAAAAGAACTTGGGTGCTAGTAAAGGAAAATCATGAATTTTTGTTTTTGTTTTTTGTTTTGGATAAAGGGGACTACTTTGAGAAATTATACAATAGTACCGTACTACCACGTGTATTGTATAATTTCTCCCATTTCTGACCCAATTTCAATAGTACCGTACTACCATGTGTTTACGCCTCTAAGGGGATGCATAAGCCTCGAAGAAAGGCGTACGCTGCTTTTGGTGACTTTCTCATAATTAGCTCCGCCTCGAGGCAAATTTCGACCGCCTCGCCAAGAGGCCCGCCACAAAGGGCACTGAGGGCGCGTTATTTAAAACATTGATACTTCTGTCATGCTGCCTTCTGCTAGCATATATACCGAGTTTTGATATGCCCATGTTACATAATTGAATAATTCCTATTATTAGAGCCAAACATATTCATACCGAGTTTTACATGTGATGGATTTAGGTAATTTTATCTCTCAAATTTCCTTATGGGTTATGAAGTTGGGGTCGTGTTCTGAAAGTAGTTTATATTTTTTCATGATGGCTGATATTTATGAATGAAATTCAGATTGATATACCAGGAATGAAGTTAATTGTGTTCTTCGTTTCTTTGGTTATGTACATTGTTGGTAGGATGTCATACTAGATTCTACTCTCTATCAATTGGAAATTGAGTATTCCTTTAGTTTGGCATTACCTCCCAGAAGAGACATACAACCTCACATAACTTCGATGGCTTTCAATTCAGAGTTCAGCATCACTGCCCGAACGGATTCACGGCCTCACCGTTTTAAGCCAGTTCGAAATTGGATACTATTCCTTCATACAGAAAAGCAAAAACAAAGAGGGCAGATTTTTCGGGTTTGTACATCTCTGTTTCTTAGTCCTTTTCTAAAGAAATCAATTCCCAGCTAACTCTCCCTTCTTCCTTGTCTTTTCAGGTCCCGTGTGAGAAATGAAGTTCCCTTGAATGGTGTGCATGAGGAGAATTGAAGTTCACTTGAACCGTATTCATGAACATAAATAAAATACTGAAACGAACATGACCCAGTGTTTTAAGCTTGGATGGCGTTATGGCTTCTGAAGAACTAGCAAAAGAATAATAGGTAACTACTTCATCATATGTAATTGTTTTATATTTCCACAGATCAAACAAACATTTTTCAATTATCCAGTTCTGAAAAAAATTGTTCATATGGTAGTAACATTGGTTTACTTTCAATCTAGTTACTTCCATACATATGCAGTGGAGAGAAGAAGAAACAGATGGAGTGAAGAAAGCCAATAGCCATCATTCAAATGTATGTTCCCTGTTAACGCACCTGGGTATTGATCTTAAACAGATAGATAATGTTCCATTATATATGATTTTTGTTTCACATATTATATCCTTGATGCCTGGTTTGCGTGCATTATCATTTTCTGTGTATCCTACACTTGCATAAACTTCATTCTAGTTCTATTAAGTTGATAATAACTTTTGTGGAACAGGGACCTTGTAAGAGTACAGGAAAATTGCAATGCCGGAAGAGCGTGGTTCGAAGTATGCTCAAGTCTTGTTGGGCACTTCAGCAGTTGAGAGAGCTTCAGTATCCCAAGTGTGGTATCTTGTGCTGCAGTGTCGAGCAATGTTCCTTTGTTCTGATTTCGTGTTTTTAAATTTAAATTTTGTTTTGTTTTGTTTCCTATTCTGAACCAGATTGGAACAGACTTAGAGTGCTCTTGTACTTGTAATCTTCTTATTCAATTAGTGAAAAACCCTAGCAACCTCGTGGACGTAGCTCAATTATGAGTGAACCACGTAAAACTGTGGTGTTTGATTTGTGTGTGAATGTTTGTTTGTTCTTTTGATTCTCGATCTCTGTTACCACTGAAGTGGTTTGAAAATTTATTCTCAATCCTTCATTTATCAAATCTAAATCATTTAATCACCCAGCTGGAGGGACTGACTGTGTTAGTTGTATTAACAAATTCTCCCAAAACAACAATTTGTTTCAGAACCTTCAATACTTGTCTGTATTTATAATATGGTATCACATCAACACAGAATGATCAAGGAAAATACACGCATTATAAAAGAATCACCGACTCACTTCCATGAAATTCATTTGAAAAAACCCAAAGAATTAATACTAGCAAGTAATAAATGGGTGGAAATAATAATTAAAATCTAGTGGTTGAGGAGAGCAACCATGGACATGAAGAACGGGAGGCAGAGGATCATAGCCCCCGAGGCCACCACAGAGTGAGCTGCTCCTTTGTCTTGAGCCGGCGCGGGAGTGGGCGCAGCATCAAAATCTTGGGCCGAAGACACAGCCGCAAAGAAAGCCACCACGGCAAAGGCAAAGACCAAGGCCTTCATCTTCATCACACTGCTGCTCAAATGTGCCATTGCAAATCAAAGATTTAATTTGAATGAAGAAAAGAATAGCTTTTAGTTTTAGCTAGAGAGAACAAATAAAGAAGAGAGTTGGGCTGATTGCTTGCTTCCCCAAATATATAGTGATATTTAGGGAAGGGAGTGGGGCCCACAGACCGGAGAGAGAACATAGGTCAAGAGCTGGATTTATGGGGTGGCCACGTTGTGGTGTCACAAAAGCAGAAAACTAACGGCTAGAATTTGCTTTGATTTTCAATTTTGAAAGCCGTTGGTTCACCAACTTCCTTTATTTTCTTCCCACAATTGCCTTCTGCGTAAATCATTGTTCTTCTTTGCTGAGAAGTAATAAAACCTTGCAGGTGAGGTCTGTGGTACAATGGGCCTAATGGGGGAATTGGAGTGACTAGAATTTGATTTCGAATCATGCGATCATGTTTCATTTATTCTACTATATAGATGACGAGTGATTAAGAGCATTTACTTCTACATCCGAGGCACTAGATTCGATTTCGAACCCCCTTCCCTCCCAAAAATAACACTTTTATCAAAATAGATGACACGTAAAATGCATGTATAATGTGATGACAGTTAAAAAAAAGGGGGCACTTATGTAAAAGTAAATTCTTCACTGAAAATATAAATTCATTGGCCCCGTTTTAACAGTTCACCTCGCACCCTAATAACCATAAACTGACAAATCAAAAAAGGAAAAAAAAAAAATGAGTCTCAATAATTATATACACACCCCTACAATACAAAGCTGATGTCAAGAAAAAGCATCGAGTCCCTCGATAAGAAAAGTTGTAAAAGCCTCCATTTGAGGCTTTGGTAGGACCAAGCCAACCTCAATCCCGCCCAATATGTCTCTACTCTCAGTGAGTGAAATAGCTTTTGCACCATCAATTCCAATATCCTCTATCTTTTTGGGCCTTCCCCATCCAAAATCTGTCTCATAAAGATCCACCTTAGGTGACCCGAAAGCCATAACATGGAGCTCCGACCCGAACATCACCTCCCACTCAGATATCCACTTCTCTGCCCCTCCCAAAATTGCCTTGTCTAGCTTCGTAATAGTGTTTCCAATTGCCCTTGCCGCAACAACAATTCCATTTTCTCCCAACAAGTCCTTCCTCACCGCCATCGACCTGCCAAACCCGACGCAATTACCGACATATGTAGGCGATACTGGGTGACCCATACGGGTTAACCCGCCCGCAATAAACCCAAAATAATTCGGATCTTCACCACACCAAATGTTGTGATTAAGATAATTTTCTTGGATTTTGACCAAGCAAACCCATAGAAATGCACATGTTAGGACATATGGCGATAAATGTACCGGATGTGGCTCATTTCCCTTGTTGCATAAAGCAATAATCCAGTTCTTGATGCCCTTCATTTGGGCCACGTCCACCAAAAAAGTGGCCCTAACCGCGTTCGTTGAATGTCCATTATAATAACTAGGACCAAGAAGAAGCAAGCCTTGTGAAGAAATTCGCTTCCACCACTCCTTCAAGAAGATAGCCTCCAACCCATATGGATCTACAATAGCCGTACGATCATAAGAGGGCTTTGATCGTACGTCTACTTTTGATGAATCTCCAAGCCTAGAGAATGAGGCCCAAGCCTTGATGAAATTGTTGAAGGTCCTTCCATCAGCAACGACATGATGATATGCAAGTCCAATGCAAATCCCACAATTTGGGAACACTGTAATTTGAACACTTGACAAAGGAAGTTTGGCTGCTTGTGTTTGTGTACCATTACTAATAGGTACAAAACTACTACTTGATGCTAGTTCAGGCACAAGTGTGTAAAATTCCTCCACTTCTCTTGGGAAATTGCTTGAAAGATATACGAAGTCTCCATCTGACTCGACAACGGTCACTGAAACCGAGTCACCTTGGGTGTAGACGAGCTCGGGAATGCCGGGTTCAGGCCGGGCCACTAGGGTTCCGGCGAAAGGGTAAAAGTGTTGGAGAGTGAGGGAGAGAGAGTGCTTGAGGTTTGGGAGGACGGTGGAAGTGAAATGACAAGTGGGAAATGGGAATTCATAGAAGAAAAGAGGTAGGCTTGGAGAGAAGAAGAGCCATGGTATGTCCAGGAAGGTCAGAGGAAGAGAGGTTTGTGAAATATCAGGTAAGCAGGAGTTTGGTGGGGGAGAGACTTGGCATTGCTCTAGAACTTTGACTTTGGAGAGTCTAGCCATGGATGAAAAAGAGAGACAAGGGTGAACACACAAATAGAAGTTGAACTTTGATTATTGCTCAAGAAATTGCTTTCTTTCTACGTTCAGCCAAGAATTGTGTGTATAAATAATCTGAGTGCTGGGCCAACTTATTTAATTAAAATTAGAAGAACGTTTCACATATCTTTTTTTTTTTTTTTTTTTTTTTTTTTTTTTTTTAATCAATAGGAAAATTTATCTGTAGCCAAGTCTTCAAAGAAGCCACTCTGGCCATACAAATTAGAAGCACCTTTCAGTTCTCAATTATATAGAAGTGTCGGTTGGTTATGGGGAGTGGGGCTGTGGAGAGTTCAATACGTCCCCATTGGTTGCTATTATAATAAGTAGGGGTGGGCACGGTTCGGTTTGGACCGGTTCTTGGAGAAAAATGGAACTTGATCCAATAGTGCAATCTGGTTCGGTTTGGACCGGTTCTGCTCAATATTCATACAGAAATCCGAACCAAACCGGACCTGTCCGATTCCGGTTCGTTTCGGTTTTTTTTTTTTTTTTTTTTTTTTTTAATAATATAACAAACCTGCCCAAAATGAATTTATATACTAACATACCTCAAATTTGAGGTTCTATCAAGCTTTCAACGCATCAAAATGAATCTAACTTTAACAAAAATGCAATCCAAATTCAATCAAACTTTAACATATAAATTACAACCCAAATTCAATCAAACTTCAACAAAAATGCAATCCAAATTCAATCCAACTTCAACATATAAATTACAACCCAAATTCAATCAAACTTCAACAAAAATGCAATCCAAATTCAATCCAACTTCAACATATAAATTACAACCCAAATTCAATCAAACTTCAACAAAATAAGTTCCAAAATAAATTACTAGCCAAATACAACCCAAATTCAATTCAAATATACATTACAACCCAAATTCAATCCAACTTCATTAAATTCCTCTTAACATTGAAAAGTAGTTGGAGCTATGGTGCTAGGTGTGGATGAACTCATAATATCTACATAAAAAAAAACATAAACCCATTAAAATATTAGTCAAACATACACATTATATAATACATTAATAAAGCATATAAAATTACAAAGACATACCTAATTCAATCGATTCATAGAACTCCATCTCTTGAATTGTTGGCTCATATTGTAAAGAGGAAATGTCATCCGACCTTAACCAATTTTGAGAACAAATTAAGGCCTCCACAATCTTAGGAGTCAAAGAAGCACGAAATGAATTAACTACCCGACCACCCGTGCTAAAGCATGATTCCGAAGCCACCGTTGATACCGGGATGGCAAGCACATCCTTTGCAATAAGTGCCAACCCCGGATACTTAACCCCATTCAATTTCCACCACTTCAAAACATCAAATTCATCAACCACATCTTCAATAGGGTCGGTGATGTACCTATCAATCTCATGCTCCAATACCACAACATCATTTGCTCGAGTCTCTTTTCTCCAATTTTCGGTCATTTGCCTTCGTTTCTTTCCCCCTCGGCTACTACTTGTACTCATTGTAGTAGTATCACTAGAATAATAACTACTACTTTGAGTAGGTGGTGGTGGTGGTGGTGGCATGGCATATTCTTCATAAAACTTCTTTAAAATCTCTTTGATCTCATTCTTCTTCTTAACCGCATCTTCCGGGTTTTCAAACCGGCTTTTCAAGATAAACTCCAAGTTCCCCAATTTGTATCGAGGGTCAAGAACAAGAGCAACCATCAAAATTTGGTTCAATTTATCAAGGTCACCCCAATACTTTTTAAACTTCATCTTCATGTTAAGTGCCATGTCCTTCAAAACCTTGGAGGTTTGGGTTTCACTTAATATTTCCTCCTCTTCCATCAACAAATCCTCAATTTCTTCTTCCATTGCAATCAAGTCATGAAATGTGGTGTGGGAAGCGGGATGCAAAGTGACACTCATCTTCAATGTAGCATCATAAAATACCTTCAAAAAATTCACAAAGGTACGAGCATTGTTCCAATCTTCATTAGTTGGTGGTCCTTCCCTCTTTCTAGGATAATGAGACATAACCACCCCATCTTCAAGATCCGGTTCATCTTCACCAAACCAAGAAATATATGGGCCTTCATCATCTTCTCCCATTCTCCAAAATGCCTTTTCAAACTTTAAGGCGGCTTCCAACATCATATATGTGGAATTCCACCTTGTTGGCACATCCAACACCACAAGCCCTTTGCATTCAATTTGCTCTTTCTTAACACAACTCTTAAAGTCCTCCAACCTTTTGGGAGAAGATCTTACATACTTCACAGCATTTCTTATACACACTATGCTTTTTTCCAACTTCTTCAACCCATCACGAACTATCAAATTCACAATATGAGCACAACACCTAATGTGCATATACTTTCCCTCTAATAAAAGACTACCATTTCCCCAATGGCCCATTTTTGACTTCAAGTAATCTATAGCCTTTGTGTTTGAAGAAGCATTATCGGCCGTGATGGTTAATATCTTCTTCAAATCCCAATCAAGCAAGCATGACTCAAGGAGTTTACCAATTGAGTTCCCCTTGTGATTGGAAATCACACAAAAGTTCAAGATTCTTTTGTGCAAGTTCCAATCACCATCTATGAAGTGTGCCGTGATGACCATGTAATTGATGTTTTGAACACTTGTCCAAGTGTCCGTTGTGAGGCATACTCTATGTGGTGCTAATTCTTCTTTCAATTTTTGTTTCATGGCATCATACATTACCATGAAATGCCTCACAAGTGTCCTACGCGATGGCACTTGAAAATGGGGGTTCAAAGAATTACAAAACCGCCTAAACCCTTTTCCTTCAACCACACTAAACGGCATCTCATCCATTACTACCATCTCTACACATGCCTTTAACCACTCTTCTTTACCATGCATTGTTGATGTAAGAACCCCATGTTCTTGGTCAAAAGACAATAGCTTTTGCCGTTTATCTTTAGGAACCCTCCCCGGATATTTCTTACATAAGTTTTCAATATGTTTCCTCAAATTTGAGGTCCCATTTCTAGTAGAGTCTGCTGCATAGCTCATAGTGCAATACTTGCACCTAGCTCTCTTCTTAGTGGTTGCATATTTGCTCCCATCCTCCTTCACACTCTCAACCACTTCTTCATATTTCTCAAAGTGATCCCATACTTCCGATTTTTCTCTTTTTGGGCCGGAATGAGGTAATGGTGGAAGACCACTCGGTTGAGGTGTACTTTGAGTTAGTGTTTGAGGGTTAGGTAAAGTGGATGAAGGTGTTGAAGAAGATGCGGATGCGGATGCGGATGTGGATACGGATGCGGATGATGAACCAACTTCACTATTAGTAGTGGAATGTACCTCTCCAAATGGGTTTGACTCATTCATGATTTCTTTAAGAAACAAAAAAAAAACAACTTAAACATGATACTAACAAAAAACAAGCCCTCAATTTAAAAAAAAACAGAAAATTAAATATTATACAATCGAACTAACAAAACAAAACACTTGAGTAAAAAAAAACAACTATGTCTCATTTCCCAATTACAAGCTGTACATACAGATATAATCAAAACCAATTATCATACAAGCTATACAAATTTCAATTGCAAAACATCAAAATTTCAGCTGCAAACATCCAAATTTCAGATATAATAACATACAGATATAATCAAAACATACAGATATAATCAAAACCAATTTCAGCTGCAAACATCCACATTTCAATTGCAAAACATCAAAATTTCAGCTGCAAACATCCAAATTTCAGATATAATCAATATAATCAAAACCAATTTCAGCTGCAAACATCCAAATTTCAGTTGCAAACATCCAAATTTCAGTTGCAAACATCCAAATTTCAATTGCAAAACATAAAAATTTCAGCTGCAAACATCCAAATTTCAGATATAATAACATACAGATATAATCAAAACCAATTTCAGCTGCAAACATCCAAATTTCAGTTGCAAACATCCACATTTCAATTGCAAAACATCAAAATTTCAGCTGCAAACATCCAAATTTCAGATATAATCAAAACATACAGATATAATCAAAACCAATTTCAGCTGCAAACATCCAAATTTCAGATATAATCAAAACATACAGATATAATCAAAACCAATTTCAGCTGCAAACATCCAAATTTCAGTTGCAAACATCCACATTTCAATTGCAAAACATCAAAATTTCAGCTGCAAACATCCAAATTTCAGATATAATCAAAACATACAGATATAATCAAAACCAATTTCAGCTGCAAACATCCAAATTTCAGTTGCAAACATCCAAATTTCAGTTGCAAAACATCAAATTCAAAATATGTGAGAGAGAGAGAGAGAGAGAGATGAAGAATACCTGAGATAGACAGAATTGCTGCTGATGGAAGCTGCAAGAAAATTGATGCTGGTCTGCGTGAAACCAATGAAACTTCGAGCCTATGGAGGTGTATTTACCACCGTGAGCTGCTGCTGGAGGACACACAAATTGGTCAGACATCGAAGAAGGGAGGGGAAAAGAAAAAAAAAAAAAAAAAAAAAAAAAGACAAAATCTATCTAACCTGCGTCACGACATGGAACTCCATCTCTTGAGGTCGGATGACATCTCTTGAATTGCAGGCTGCGTGAGTGAGAGAGACGGCGGCGCGACGGCTGAGAGAGAGAAGAGCGACAGAACGACGACGGCGACTGGAAGAAGAGCGACGGCAGAGAGGCGTGACGTGATGGCTGAGACTGAGAGAGAAATAGAGGTTTGGAAGAAGGCAAGGAACGAACGAAGGAAAGGAACGAACGAACGAACGAAGAATGAAGGAAAGGAACGGAACGAACGAAGAAGAAATGAAATCGAAGAAGAGAGGAACGAAGACAAAAAAAACCTAGGTCGTTTCAGTCAGTCAGGGGGCAGCTCTGTATGAAATTCTACCTATTTTTCTCTTCTTCCTATTTTTCTATTCTTCCTATTTCTATCTTCTTCATATCTTCATATTTTTATCTTTCCAAACCGGAAACTGGCATAATCAAATTGGACCTATTCGATTTGGTTCAATTTTACTAAACATTTTCTATGAAATTGAACTGATACAGACCATGTGTAATTTTCGGTTTCGATTTTAATTCAAGGAAAACCAGAATGCGCCCACCCCAAGTACAACTTATTAGCTTATGAAGATAGAACCTTATTTTTTTCTCAAAAATTATGAAACCAGTCTTGTGGATCCCATTATATATGTTTGGTTTTGAAGAGATTTTCCAAAATGAAACCATTTTCTTTGTTTTTACCTTTGCCAGAGCTTTCAGAACTGCATGTGCATACGTTTGGACAAAGTTGTATACAGGAATTAATAATTCAGTACCTACATACACCTAGAACTAGAAGATCTAGATATTTCAAAGTCTGCATCAAGTTTAACATTCAGTATTTAAATAAAAGGCTTTATATCACAAAACATCCTTGAGGTTCATAAAACTATCAGATTGTGTCTTTCTTTTTTTATTTTCTTTTTTGTGTCATTCGTGTTCCTCAAAGTTAATATGTGTTCTCACTAATAATCCCTGCTATTAGGTTCCATCAAAAACTCCATTAGTTAGCTGATGTAGCATATATGTAGAGTCCACATATCCAATAATATAGTGCCATGTGTATTTAAAATAAAATATATATTTTAAAAATAATTTATAATTTCCATTAATTTGCTTATGTGGCATATATGTGGAGTCTACATATCCAATAATGTAGTGCCATGTGTATTTAAAATACAATATATATATTTAAAATAATTTATAATTTATAATTCATAAAAATTAAAAATTAAAAAATCAAAAGAAAAGTTGTATTTTAAAATATATATATTGTATTTTAAATACATGTGGTACTATATTATTGGATATGTGGAGCATCAGCACACTAACGAAGTATTTGTTGGAATGACTATTTGTGAGCACACATATTAACCTTGAGAACCATGAATGACACCAAAAAATAATAATAATAACAAAAAAAACAAGAAGGACGCAATTTGATAATTTCATGGAATGTTTTGTGATTTTTTTTTAAAAAAAACCTATATGAAATGAAAATCCATGTATAAGACTATCTCCAACCCAACATGTTCCTACTCAAATTTTGCACTTTCAAATGCCACTTTGCAGAACTACACAATGTCTCAAATATTTTTTTTTTTTTTTTTTTTTTTTTTTTTTTTTTTTTTTTTTTCCTACTTCTTTTTTCTTTTTTTTGTTTGGTCGAAAATTGCCTGCTTCGTTTTCCTTTCCTTTTTTGATAAGTTACCCAACTGTTAACGACAAGAACCCACACAACCCAAACATGCTACAATCACTTCTGTCCACGTGATATTCTCAACATGCAAAGTAAACACAGTGTAGCCTTCACCTAAATATAGCTATGCCCTATCAATAGATTTATAAGGAGTTGAAAAAGAAAAGACTAAATGTGGAAAAGATTAACTGCACTCAAACCCAAAACATCATGAACCTCTCCTCCCATACATAAATCACTCACAATCTCACCACTTTCCTCGGGCTGGACTCAGTGATCATTGACAATATTAATCACATTCTCAATATTTCTCTTGGAGCTCGGCTAGTATTTACCTAATTAACAAAACACCAACTTAGCCATGGAAATGAAGATGAAGAAGGTTGCTTGCTTTGTCCTCTTTGCTGCTGCATTTGTCAGCGTTGTGATGGCTCGTAAGAAAGGCAAGGACAAAGCCACCAGAGCACCAAAACCTGCAAAAGCACAAAAATCAAGCAGCGATATCTCTGCTGGCCTGCCCACCTGGGGTTCCTTAGTTGCTGCCTGCCTTGTATCATACCTTACCTACTACTTGCTGCCTGCCTTGAATGAAGAGTTCTTTCATATATATTAGGAACTAAGGAAGGGAATAAGATTGAATTGGAATAGGGTTTCTCTTGTTTTGTTCTACTTCATTTTTGTTAGAGGACTTATCATTTCTTTCACGTCTTTTGGAATGTTCTAGATTTTATTTTTTATTTTTTATTTTTGGTAGTAAAACAATTAATACTCAAGAGTAACCAAAATTTATTTAGGGAAATTATTCTCAAATCTGTTGATGTCATTTGTTTTTCAGACATCCTTTGCTTAATCTGATGAGCATTTAGAACATGGGCTACGGTTTAAAGTGGTCAAACCAAATCAGTGTCATCGATTTTGTTCAGTTTTAATACTAAAAAGTACAACCTTAACCTACAGACCATAATTTGTTTGGTCTGGTTTAGTTTTGCCTATATGAAAATCACATAAATCATCGAAACAAACCGCCTATATTTTAATGTATATTGTATGATACTTGCATTTCCTTATTGGTTATCATCATGTATTATTATGTTTCATCGTACACGTTGATATCAACCTTTAATATAATTAGGTTGTTACTTTGTTACCTTGATGTAATCTTGAATAATGTTGTTAGGATGTTAGAGATTTAGGGCCTGTACGGTAATGTTTTTGGAGAATGTTTTCTTAGAATATTTTCAAATAATGAAAACAAGAAAACAAATTTTCATTTTCAGGAATTGAAAATGTGTCTGATAAATTAATTAGAAAACATCTTTAGAAAATAAAAACAATGAAAACATGTATGGTAATACAATTTGAAAATATAATATGTAAGTTGTTTTTCAAGTGTATTTTTGCTAAAATATGTTCTAAATAGATATTTTTTAAAATGTATAATTTAACAAATAAAAAATTATATTACTTTTTAAAATTTAAAACTTTTTTTATTTCTTCTTTTATTATAAATCTCAATGTCCCAAATTTTATTTGGCAAATTTGTTTTAACAGACATTACACTTAATCATACGTCAAATAAACCATGAGAAATGGATTTCCTTAGCACAAACTCGGAATCTTGTCAGCAATTAATATCCAATGCATTAATTGTTCTTTTCTTCCGTTTTTTTTTTTTATAGATAACCAAATACTTTACCACAATACCCTATATACCCTAACATTTTTTATGATCCCTTATATCACGTTTAGGGTGGGACATCTCATCCACGGACAGTATTGTATCGATTGTTTGATTTGGTTTAGTTTGGTTAAATATTTATGTTTTATTTTTAATTATTCTAATCCGATTCGTACCAAAACGTTTGGTTAAAAAGCAAAGTAACAATATCTCTAAATTCTAACCCGACAAAAACCCATACCGACTCAATATTTATAATTATTTTATTATTTAATTACTAATATACGAAAGAGTTAGCCTTACCAACAATATTATGATTTATCCCAAAACAGAAAATGCCAAAAATGGTATTAAAAAATATATTACCTATCAATTTCGATATTCCAAAAAGAAAGGCATGAAAAATCTCCCTTAAATCCCTCCTAAACCAAACTCCCAAGGCAGCACTCTCAACTCCAAGGCGTTTTCAGCGAATACTCTTCACTGCACATCTTCAACGTCAAGTTTCACCGATCTCAGCCCAACAAATTCCACCACAAGGCCACCATGGAAATGAAGAAGATTGTCTGCGCTGTCCTCTTCGCCGCCGCCTCTGTCAGCGCTGTGATGGCTCATGAGGGTCACGACCACGCCCACGCCTACACCCCCAGCCCCGCCCCCGCCCCAGGACCAGGAGGAGCCGCAAATGATGCCTCTGCCAGCCTCCCTGTCTTGGGGTCCGTGGTTGGTGCCTCCATTGTGTCCTTCATTGCTTACTACATGCAGTAAATCAAAAAAAAAAATTGAGAGTTAAGAGAGAGCTCATGAATTATTGACTACTTCATAGAGATTGGAGGGTGTCTCTCTTGGGTCTCATTTCTTTTTACTTATAATGCAATAAATTAAAAGAGCTTCTGGTTCTGGGTTTTTCTCTTTTTCTTTCTTGTTCTTTTTATTTATTTATTTTTGGTGCATGATCTCCATTTTCCAAGCTTTCAATTGATATTGTTAGCTACCTATAGTGAGAATGTGTTCCAGGTACTTTTTATCTCACAAATGCAAGTGCGAGTTGTATTGCAGAAATCTTGGCTGAGATCGTATTTTCAGTTTAGGTCCAAATACCATCCTTAATACCAAATATATTGTCGCATAATCGCATTGATCTCTTACCTCATTTCGTTGGGAAGCTAAGGATTTCTTACTATATCTTAGTCCTCAATTTGAGCCACTGTATCTATTCTGAATTCTATGGAATGATTTGAGAAAGTTTACCTAATGGATGAGATTTCCTAAACTTCCTTAATAGGACATTTGGCACCATATTGTTGATCCAAATCAAGTCAAAATCTTATTAGTGTGTAATGACATGAATCTTTGTTTGATTTGGTTCGACCCACCCTAATTATTTCAGGCCCATTTTTATTACGGTCACACTTTCACACAGTGGTTATCATATAATGCCAAATAATTTTAGAAAACGAGGAATTACTGAGATACTATTACATAGTATAACTCTTTCACTTGATATATATAACATTAGAATTTGTTTATTCACATGTTATAATATAAGAATTTATTCACGTGTTATAATATGAATGAACAACAATAGACAACATAATTAACATTGTCCACTTTTGAGATATGGCATCAATCAATATCCTAACACATAAACCAGTTATTTTATTTTATTTTGAAATAACGCAGTAACAAGCAAGTAGAAACTACATATAGAAAATCGAATCAAATAATCCTTATTTATTTATTTATTAAACTCCCTCCCCAATCAAATATTCCAATTTGGGTCTGCACAATGGCCCGCTTGAAATAATTTTGGGCCGGGTGTCTAAATTGGGGTCATTCTGCTGAAAAGCCTAAAATTTAACCTCACGGCTCTCACTCTCCCAACCCTCTGTTTCTGTCTCTGCGTCTCTCTGAATTTTTGTTTCACCAAAAATGGCCGCCATGATCTCACGCAGATTCAGCTCCAAGCTTGCAAGGCTCTCTCATCCTTATTCATCATGGTCTGTATCCTCCGCCTACCTCATCACCCAGAATCTCCAAGACTCTACGCCTAAACCCTTCACCCACTCCTCTAATTCCACTTTCTCACAATCACACTCAAACCCCATCACCGTTGTCAAAGACTACAAAACAGCACCAAATCCAAAACCCATGAACCCCAATCTCAGTTGGGTACCAACTAGAAAATCCAGTACTCAAAACCCTGAATTTATGCACCAAAGGGTTTTTTATCCACAGCCCAAAAAACCCAATTTTGGTTTTACACAGTCATGTTCAAGTTTCAGTACCAATTTATGGTTTTCAGATCAAAGACCCAGATTTCTTTCAACCTCTAGTTCACCACCATCAGAATCTGAAAAGCCCCAAAACCCAAGTGAATACCCTAGTCAAAACCCTGATTTCAAGCACCAAGAAATTGAAGGACCGACCGTGGAGCGAGACCTATCGTCCTTGGCCAATGAGACCAGAGAAGTTCTTGAAGGGATGGCAAAGAACATGTATAATCTGAGCAGGGCATTTGCTCTTCTGGGGTTGGTCCAGCTTGGTGTTGGAGCTTGGATTTCATACATAACCAAGTCCACGCCAATTCCAGAGGTCTCAATTCAGAGCATTTTGGCATTTGGGTTGCCGATCTCATTGGCATTCATGTTGAGGCAGAGTTTGAAGCCGATCTACTTCTTTAAGAAGATGGAGGAGCAAGGTAGGTTGCAGATTTTGACACTCACTCTTCAGGTTGCTAAGAATTTGAATGTCTTCTTTGTTCGGGTTCGCGGGGTTTCTTTCTTGTGTGTTGCTGGTTTGTCAGTTGGAGTCTTGTTTGCTGTGCTTACAAGATGAGTTTTAATTCTTGTTCATGAGATTGTTTTCATGAATTTTGATAAATGATTGTTATGTTATTGGATTTTTGTATCCTTTTATTTTACGGGAAGTGAAAACGAATCTAATAATCCCATCTTCATCTACCAAACCAGCCTATAAATCAAGCCAATGGCATTATCAGTTCACCCATCTGAAAATACCAGCAGTTCCTGATACATGTATGTTGTTACATTTAGACCATAATCAACTTAATCAATGGTCTAGATTCATTTTAAGACGATATAAGCGAAATCTTATGTTGTCGAACACTTTGGACATTTAGAAATGTCTTAGGAAATTATGTTTAGGATGCAGCAAGCTTATGCGAGTGGTTTGTTTGTGCAATTGTAACGGGCAAAATATACGGTGGCAAGGCAACAATTGGAATAACTAACCCTATTATCTTCTTTTTTGATATATTATTCTAATTCTCTTATTTGGCAGTGACTCATTCAAGAATATTTAGCATCTTCATTACTGAAAAACGCTGCATGCATATCATGACAGACATTACTAAATTGAATTTGCAATTTCTCTAAACAAAAAAAGAAGAGATATTTAGTAATATACCCATTCTTAGCACTAAAACTATAAATAAACCCTACATCATTTCATTTTTATAAACATACCCAAAAAAAACCCAAAAAATGACAAATGATACTATTAAATTTAATTTTAATTATTAAATTACTTTGATACCCTATTGAGTGTTTTGGGTTTTTTTATGAAATTTTGGGTTGGGTTTGTTTTAAGAAATCAATGGCAATTTTGTAATTTAAAAGAAGTTAAAAGCCTTTTTGTTATGTTATAAATGGGTTTTGGGTGTATTTATAAATTCCATTTCATATAAGGTTTTTTTATAATTTGGGCTCCTATATTGGGTATATTAGTGAATCTCCCAAAAAAGAAAAACAAGTACCAAGAAGCTTTGCTGACATACGAGGCAACTAATCTCTCTTTTCATCCTTTTTACCTTTTTTTTTGGGTTTATCAATGTATAAATATTACAAAGCAAAATTAACAGATTATCCTTCAAAAAAGAAACCATTTATCCATCCGCCCTATTCACAAATTTTATCGCGAACAATATTATCTCCGGAAGAAACACCTAAGGACTCGATCCAAAATACTTTCCCTCGCTTTATCCCATATGCCATAACAACCAAACCCCTCTTTTATCTCCAAATCAAAAGAATAAACCAAAAATTTGCGAGTAGGGAAACCTTCCCCTCCACTTCAGCCTCCATGTAACAATGTTCTCCACCCTTTACAAAAAGAATATACTCCAATTTATTGGATTTCCAACAATCCCTAGCATTTCTTGTGGTGCAATTTCAAGTCGGGCATATTGCAGAAGGTAACATTTTTGGACTAGTTGCCCTCTGGCTTAGGTTCTGTTCGCACGTAGGTTAGACTACGAGCTGTCGGTGAAGGAACAGGATTGCCAGTGACTGGAGCACCACTCTCACCTGGAGTGGCTTGAGTATCCCGCTTCCACTGCATGCTCCTGGCACCAGGTTTGATTAGGGGACGAGGCCTATATGCACCAGACATGCCTCTTGGGAAAGGCGACCTAGCAAACCTCGCAGTGGCAAACGGCGATCCCCGGGCAATCCGTGGCCATGTGATGACAGGAGCTGCTTCTTGATGTGCAGCGCCCCTCTTCACAACCTGCAATAGGATGATAACGAGGGTCAATATTTTGTTGCATAGTAACTACCTTTTAAACCCTAAAAAATAAAACCATTCCATGTTCATTTTCGGTCACAGCCCAAAATGCAATCAACACACATATTCCCTGCTATGAACAATTTACCCTACAAGATCATATGTTAAGAAGCAAGCTAAATATGATGTATATTCCCAAAGCGCTCACAATAGCAAAAACCATCAGAGATAATCATTACCTTAAGGATCCGGGACATGAAGGAGGTGCCATCCAGAGATAATGCATTGTCTGCCGCCTCCTTCCGTGTGAACTCTACATAAGCCGACCTGCTCAAGTAAAGTTATTTAGCAAAAATAACAACTGAATATGTATCATCCTCAAAGAAAAAGGAAGGATTTGGATGAGCCGACACATCTTACCCTTTAGGTTGCCCAGTTGCTGCATCAGTAAGTATCACCACTTTTAGCACTTCCCCAAACTTGTTGAAATGTCGAGAAAGACTATCTTTTGTAGCAGCAAAATGGACCTGTGCATTCATAACAAAATATAATCTAAACTGACAATGCACAGAACCAAGACAATATGTTAAACCTTGAACAAGAAGAGGAGCTATTACATTGTTAACAAAGATGGTTCGAGATTCTGCATCCTCCAAAGGACGTCCAGCAGCATATGCACCTACAGGATATTCCAAGAACAAAAATTAATAAGATGTAAAGTTGCGTAGTGCTCAAATCAGGAAGATACAGCACCGATAAGGAAATCAATTGTTTGAGGAGCTAGAAACAGGGTCCTTACTCCCCTAAATAAGGGGGAACAGTAACAGGAATTACGATATTAGCATGGAAGCAAAAAGAGAGCTGACTATTTCAGAGTTTCAACACACCAGTAGAAGAGGAAAGCATCCTTTGAGAATCTGCAGCAGGGTTCGCCTGTTATCATGAAAACATATTCAATGGCAGTCTCCAGGGCACAAACAAAAAAAAAAAAAAAAAAAAAAAAAAAAAGGAACGAAAAAAAAAAAATGTGGGGTGGGGGGATATCGAACTTACATTTCCATTACTAACTGCGACAGGGTTGCTATTCTCTTTCATGACCCGCAAATCAGATTTGGGAACCCCTACCCTCGCCATCCTGTACAGAAGTCCAGTCATCTGAGTCAGCAACTTCTTTTGGCTCCTGATAATGGGGTGGTTTCCAAGTATTGACATTCACAGATATGTTCACAATCTTATGAGCAGAATTTGCAGGTGCAGTAGGTTGACCCTGATCTTTATTCCTTGATATCCGCATAACATCGTCAGCACCCTTGCTTCCACCAGATGTCCCAGTTTGAGAAACATCAGTAACTCTACGACCCATAACATTGACATCATCAAACCCTTCATTGTCTGATATACAATCAGAAGCCAAACCAGTTTCACTTTCTAAGATAGCATTCCTTACAAACTGCCCACTGTGTTCACTTTTTTTAAGATATGTTGATCGCATTTGCTCACGAATTTGGATGGCATCTTCATATACACCATCCTCAGTAGCAGCTTCTCTAAATGATGCAAGTGGGCCACTCGTCTCTGAGACATCCATACCACGACCAAGTCGGTCAAACACACTACCTGATGATTTAACTCTTGTTACATTTTCAGCAGCTTCTGCAACAGCTTTCATTACAGTTGACATGGGATTTGGCACCCTGGCAACAGATTGAATTCGTCGAGGACGATCAGCCACTGATGAGTCAACAGTGGGTGTAGAAACCACAGAACGGAGTCGCTTCAATGTGGGCTGCATTGTTGAATTTGATTGCCTTGAGGTTGTCAGCGCATCCCGCATGGCAAATTGGAGTAGCCGTCGAGGGGCATCAATATTCACTTGAGAAACTGGTTCCCTCTGTCAAGAAATTGAATGAGAAAGTTGGATAACAGTTATCAAAGTGCATACTTTCTATACCAAAAAAGTTGTGAGCAGAATAAATATAGTCTATCATTTTGTTTGGCTTGTCAAGCCTGAGAGCAAGTAGTGTTTTAAGATTCAACCCATCGATATGTCAGAAGAAGGCTAGTTGTACCAGTTATAGCAGTCCAAAATGATCTTCCTTAAATACACATAAATAGCATAGTTACTCTACTCTACAATATCATCTTAACAGATAGATGGAGGATTAGCAAAAGTGGACAAGATCAGCTGTATGTACGTTGAAAACCATTAATACGTTCAAAGACAGTTTATTGACATCCAAGCAACAACACGAAAGCCAATCCATGATATCAACAGCAAAATCTCTAAAAAGAAAATGATTGGAAAATTGCTGTTTCAGTTCCACATAAAACGTGATCAATAATGGACCACTGATTGATTGAAGAATAATAAACAAGACAATCGTTTACAAGAGTACTTGAACAAATTTTCAGATTTTATTAGTACAAAATTGAAAACTCCAAATTACTGATAGGATAGTTCCAGAACTGAATATCAGCCTAGAATACTTTAATATAGCAGTTTATACCAAACTTCAGCATATATTAATTATAAATATTTATTACATAGACAAAAAAAAATTTACCAGTCAATACAACTGAAGAATAGATAATTATAACATTAATCATATGTCACCAATCAAAAACAGCTGCAAGACCCAAGGTCAAATTATCAGAGTCAAATTCAACAAGACCCTGCTTCAGGATCATAAAAGAAAAAAAATTACAAATTCAAACCTCTGTATTATGTCTCTCATCAGGCCGAATCCTTTTCCTCTGAGCTGCAGGTTGGCGCAAAGGAGATTTTGCACGAATTACTTTGCTATGACTTTTTTCATCTACATGAATATCTCCAATCTCAGAGCTGAGAAAAGGAGGGGGTTCAGCTGCATCCCTAGCTAGTCCTTTCCATTCCCTATTGTGCCGGCTTCTAGTTAATTTATTAGACTTCTCTCTTTCTGGCTCAGAACCCAAATGATAAGAATCAGTATTTCCTGTTTGGTCACCTGATGTAGTTTTTCTTTTACTCGCATCTTCCATATCAGAATCCTGAGATTGCACATGCAAATCCAAATTTGAAGCCAGATGATCCCACAACCTATTGAGGAAAATTTTAAACAAATAATTAAAACTTTTGTCCACAATACATGTGTGACCAAAGCTAGGTTGCTAAACAACCATCATCTATGAACTAACATTGCTCATAAAAGAGGGAAAATAATCAATTACCAAGAAACAAAAGAATCACTGTCATCCCCCAAAAATACATTCAACTCATTCTTCGCTTCTTCTTTCCGCCTGCCATTCCTTAAAAGGACAATTACATATTCCTGCAACATAAGTTAGAAAACTGAGCTAGAGTTCTAATGGCATAAGTTGTGTATAATTCTACATAAAGAAAAAACCAAGAGGATGAACCCAAGTAGACAATGAAACACAAACAAAAATGGAGACGAAGGCCAACTGGTCATCAAGAAGAAAAAGCGTCCACAAAAGGAATGTTTCACTCTCATCTTATGCAAATTAAACTCCACTGAAATGTGTATATTAAACAAATGAGATGAGAAGAAATTCTGTCATATCACTAAACATTAAATAGTATGCATACAACTCTTGGCATTACTTCCACATTATACGAGAGGAAAAAATCTCAAATGTACAAAATCCCATCACATGACATAACTTACGGTCCTTTAAGTGGAAATAACTCTGGTCAAACTAGTGGAGTGGCACATGTTTCTGTATTATAAAAAGTACCCGACAAATAAAAATCACTTTATTAAAGAAAAAAACTACCATGTAGGTATAAAAATAACCCCTCTATGCCTGGCATAACTTTGCCTTCCACAATCCACAAATTCTGTAACTATCAAATTCAGTACTTCTAATCCCTCAAAATATGTCACCACAAACCCAGTAGACCCCCCATTCTGCAAGACACTAAACAGCCATGAGTCTTCTATACGACTCTAACCAAATATAGGTCCAACATAAGGCGTAAAAGGATTGCAATTTGAACCCAACCAGCCTGCCCATGTGGGGAAAAATTAAAAATAAAAAAAAACCCGGCCCTATCAAATGTGCTAACCCAAGTCTAACCAATTACACAGCCACCATAAAGCCTAAAAAAGTGAAACCTAAAAACCAGCAACCCATTTGTTAACAACCAGGGCCTAAATTACACCCAAATTTACAAGATAAGAAGAAAACCAAATCTAAATCCAACGTAAAGCATAACCAGTATAAAACTTACACCAAGAGCAACACCCAAGTTTGATCAACCATACCCTAAATTCAACCCAAATACACCTTGCATCTCTCCATCATCACCAAATTGAGCAAAAATGATATTAAAAGGAGGGCAAAGGCTGGGGAGAGAGACAAAATATCTCGCCCCTAAATAAGCCAAGTTACATTTATTCCTATTCTATGATTTCTGCCCACAAACCCGAACAAGAGAACTAGAGAATAGGTGTATGCAGTTTATGCTTATATACACATAAATATCTAGAGAGAGAAGGGGGTGAAGGCAAGGAGAAGGACAGAGTGAGGGAAGAGGAATTTACAAGTATATTCCTAAATAATTAGGCCTGGTTCCTAGAAACCCTTCATTATCAGAGATGTACTTTAGAAGTTTATACTTACAGCTCTGAGATGGAACTGGATAAGACTCAGAATACTCGCATCATCTTGAACTACTAAACTTATACTATAGACCTTAGGTGCCACGCATGCACATCTAAAACAAATAAAAATACAATACGGTTATATGCCAGTTAGTCATTTATATACTAACCCTGAAAAACTGCATTCATATCATTTACCGTAAGAAATATGGGCACAAGAAACAACACAATGGATAAAACAAGACTGTAAATCTCAAGAAACACAAAATTTGCATATATAAAATGGTTCATTTACATGAAAAATACATCTGCAAAGCCACAACCAAAAACAGAGACAGATACATGTACTTATATGAAACTTCTCAACTGTGTTGTGTAAAATATAAATAAATTGGTAGACTACTTCAGGATATTTAATTTTTTTGTTTAATTTTTGTGATCCTGTCACTTTTATAAGGTACAGATGAGGATCATCCTTGAAAATAAAAACATAATAAGATCATAAAGCAATCTCAATGTGTCACAAGAAAGTCCAAGTACCCGAAGCTTGCTAACATTATGTTTTCAATTTTCAATTATGGAAACCTTATGAAGCATGTCCCTTACATCATGCCTAATGGTGTGTTGGACATACCACCTCCGCAGTAGCGTAATCTCAAAACCCCAAGTAAACCCTAGGCTTCAAGCCTATATTATTCATAAGTCTAGGGCCTGCACCAATCCTTGAAAATGATGTTTCAAATTCATTGCACATATAGGTCATGAGCAACATTGCAAGAAGACTTTTTCACAATGGTATGTTCTCCCTCTCTCTCAAAAATAAACTATCTTGGAAGCTTTGTGCCTCTAAAAACTCTCCACGCAGATAACCACCTTAACAGATTCCGTACTAAAATGCCCAAGCAATGCAGTCATAAACAAAAGCCTAAAACATTTGGCACACTTACAGCTCACATTTTGAACAATGGGCATAAATTCCTCAAGAAAATCCAAAGGTGTGATGTATCTTAACTTTTTTCAATCATAAAATGTACCTGACCTGAGGGGCAAGAGAAATGCAACCATTCTCTACACACTCATACGGTCATATCAACTAAAAGTATAAACTCAAAAATCTGGGTAATGATTTAGATGAAACCAAAATTCAAGAGTACTGCAATGCTTAGCATCTCCAAGTCGGACCTGATCGCCTACCTTAAAGCAAATGGCAACATTTCCTAGCCAACGTTCACTAAACCCAATTCATGGCATCAACATTGGTAGCCAAATACATTAAATTCCAGGATAAGCATAATTTAGACGGTGAAGCCAAAACCAAAGCCAAAGCCAAAGCCAAATCTTTCCTCCACATAAAGTAAGAACCAAGAAAACCATATGCAATCACCCAAATAAAACATAAAATCAACCGACAAATTCTCCAAAACGCAATCAAACCACTGAAAACTGGCCAACAATCATCGTAAATTTCAGAACAACGCGCAAAAGGGACCAAAAGCCAAATGAGAGAGTCCGTACCACAAGAGTGTCGTCGGTGTAATCCCCCATGAACTCCTTAAGCTTCTCCCTCACACTCGCTCTCAACTTGACAACTGAATCGCCCGTCAAATTAACCCTAAAGGTCCTATCATCGACTCGATCCACGCTGCCCATCGCCAGAAAACCCTAATTTCCGGCCTCAAAATAACCCCTCTTACCAAATGCTTCAGAAACCTCAACCAATCGCAAACCCCTAGCTCTCGGGTTTATAAATATCCGCAACCGAATCAAATCCCTCCCTCCTCCGGAACTGGGCGATAACTGTGTACGGAAAGATAGGGGATTTTCCCGGGAAAGTGATGGAAAAGAATTCCTAGGTTATTGGGTTATAGGGTTTCATGGGAAAAAACCCCCCGGGAGCGAATTTCCGGGGAGAAAATGGAATTTTCAGAGAGAAGAGAGAGTGTTTTGATTGAGGAGGGTGCCTTCTGGGAAATTATATATCGCAAATTATAGTTTTCTACTGGGAGTGGGAGAATGCTGTGATTTCTCTCTTCTTTGTTTGCTGCAGGTTGGGGATAATAATTCGTATGGTTGTTTATGGGCTTTTTTCCTTTTTTGGCAACTCTTTTTTATATATTCTTATTCTTATTTAGGTCAGCTTCTCAAAGATTTGGACAACCCGGTCCAATTTTAAGTTGGGCTTTTTTTAGGCTATCTCCAACCCAGAGATTTTTTTTTTTTTTTTTTTTTTGTTTTTCCGGATAACATTTGACTATTGTTATCCAAAGGTCCAAATTCAAAATACTTTTCATCTCGATATCTAACGGTCCAAATAAAATTCAATGGTGGTAAATAAAATCCATCAACAAATGTTAAACTATGAATAATACCGTTGATTCCCGAATTTTAAGACTGCAAGGTTAGAGAAAAATACTATTTGGGACTTTTTGTATAGATGAATAATAGTTGTAGCGTGTTCACTAATTAGTGACGTAAATCCAATAGTAATTTACAAAGAAGAACTCGAAATCCTTTTTATAAACAATCACTTCCGCGTCTATAAAATATAATTACTTTGGACTACTTCTTCATGAAACACTTTATGCTTATAAGAGTATGTCCACCCCAAAAGGATAAGGCTAAGACAAAGGCTGAGCTGCCACTATTCAAGTGAATAGTGGCAGCCTTTCCTTTTTTGATTCCACCCCAAAAGGCTAGGGCAAGGGCAAGAAAAAAAATGTAACAAAATATAAACAATTTAGAAATGCAAGAAATAATATGATTATGCAAGAAAAAAATAAATATGGAAGAAAATATAAACAATTTACAAATGCAAGAAAAAAAATGATTACAATTTACAAATATTTGAAGGAGAAGAGTTTGTATGAGGATTTGATGTGGAAAGTGAATAAAATTGTTATGTATTTATAGGGAAAACATCCATAATTTTTTGGTTTTTTTTTAAAATTGTTTTTTTTTGAATTTTTGTCGATTTTTTTCGCTCGCTGACGTCAGCGCCTTCGGGCTTGAGCCCAGGTAGGATTTGCCCTTGGGCTTGCCCGGGCTCTCTTTCCTGCGCTGGAGGTCCAAACCTAGCTAGAGGGGGCCTCTTGCCCTGGCAAATGGCCTGTGGTGGACATGCTCTAAGTACTTTTGTTATAAACGCTTTTTATTGAAAAAAAAATGTTGATTTTTTTGTTAAAAATCCAAGTACTTCTTAAAAAGCACATGATAGGTGTTTCTCCATAAAGTGAGTACGTTTTAATTGTTCTGCCAAACGCAACTACAAGCGCTTTTGGTTGTCAGAAATCGTTTTTAGCCAATCCAGAAGCACTCCCAAACATTCCTTAAATGAAGTCATAGCATTTTGTGAGTCACTTGCACTCTAAATAGGGGTTTGAGTTTATATGAGAGAGTGTTCAGCATAATTGTGGTTCGATTGTATCTTATAGCTTAAGGTGCTATAATTGTAATGAAGTGATTATTGTATTCTAGGAGACAAGTGTCGGTCAACCATGAACAACACAGTGGCTGCAAATTGTACTAAAGACATAGTATAAAACACTAGCCTTGACCGATTATCATGTTAACCCATACTTTTTTTGGGTGGGGGGGGGGGGGGGGGGGGTGAGTTCATGTTTATGTTTATGCAATTTTTTTTGCTCATGTGTATGCATTAAACTGTGCATTTAATTACATTAATGTTTCTTGAATTTTATATGAGAATAATATAGTAATTAGACACTATTTTCCAACATATGGGTCCCTCTTAACATTGAATTGACTCTCATATTTTGTTCAAATATGTGATTTAACACTCAAAATGTGATAATTAATATATAAAAAATAGGCTATTTAAAAGCAATAGTCTATAAATTTGTGCCCGATTCGTATTTTGATATTTGAAAATAAAACTGGTGAGGTGCTACAACAATCATTTTTTGAGTTTAATGACTAAAATGCGAATTATTTTTTGAGTTAATGACTAAAATGCGAATCATGCACAAATCAAAAAAGTGTTGAAAAAAATAATATGGGATGGTCGTTTTGAGTTGGGCAGTTTTCGAAATACAAAACCAGCCATTGAAGTATATAGATTGCAGTTTAGCTGGATCAAGATTACACTCTTTTATAGCAAATTGAATGACATGTTTTAAAAATACTTCGTGACGCCTATTATACAAAAATGGCGTAATTGACGATCGGTAATTTAGTAAAGAAATCGTACATGAGTCGCTCTCTTTTCCTCTTCGAGCTTTTCCGATAAAACCACACCCAAAAAAATAACATTTTGAAGAAACTGACAAAACACTGCGCACGTAACATCAAGAAAGAAAAAACCCAACAAAAACAAAACATTACTGAGCACGCAACTCACTTCCACTCCAGGACAAAAAAATATCAGGTAAGGCAGAGTTTATGCGAAATCTGTGTTTTCCAGAACCTGATTGGTTCACTACTTCTTATTTCAAATGCGTTAAAACCATTTTCTGACGGTTTTCCCCCTCGTCCAATGAAAATCAGAAACGTGGCTTAAATCGTAACATATTGAACACATCAAATCATTGCTCTCGCTCAACCTCCACGCTCCCTCATCGCCTATAAATCCTAGCTGGAACAGATGGCTTCGACTTCTCCTCCTCTGACACCTTTCTCTTTCCTGTTCGCTTTAGGGTTCGTCTCTCTCTCTCTCTCTCTCTCTCTCTCTATTTGAGTGTTTGATTTTTCAAAATTTTGATAATTTAATTATTTATTCATTGAAGGGGAGCGGATAGGGACCATCTCTCTGTGAATTACAGGTTCTACTTTGAGGAGGTTGGTTTCTCTGCGAACAGGTGAGTCGTAGATTGCTCTTCTGTCACTAATCGTTTTTGGGTTCTGCTTGTTTTGATGAAACTTGTTCAAAATGGTTGAAGACGCTCAGAACTTTATGTATATGTTAAAATATGTGATTATGATGGTGGGTTTTGTGTTTTGATGGAAACCCAGGTGCTAATTCCAAGTTAGTGATGTTAACAATAAGAAATTAAGGTTCTTTTGTGCAGATTATGAATTATTTTGCAAGTTTTTAGCTTGATGAGTTGGTTAAAGTGGTTTGTGTCTTTATTTTTTCATTGGCCATGGTGAATTAGCTTAAAGTTGATTACATGACTTCTTCTTTCAAGACTTGAAAAGGGGATATGTATGTAAGAGGTTAGGTTTTCTGATGAGTATGTTTTATGTACTAATATAAATCTATGAAGAAATCAATGACTCAGTACCACGAAAAAGAATTCGAATTCGTCATAACCATCCATTTACTCCCTTCTTTCTTTAAAAAAAATAGAGAGAGAAAATGAAAGGTAGGAACAAGCATGTGGAAGGGCTTTTGAGTATTGTTTATGAGCTGTCTGATAAGCTAATTTCTTGAAAGCTATGGAGCACAATATTATATGAGTTTTTAGATTGTCTCAATATTTCCTAGCCTTGTATCGAGAACAAGGGAATTAGTTTCAATTGTTGTTTTGAGGTTTTTTGTAAGGTTCATTGAGTTTACAGAAAGATCCACGTATTTTCTTCTGATGGTGATTTTACCTTAACTAGGTATTTTAATTTGATAGGACAAAAAGGGCAATGTTCCTGTCAATAGTTGTATGCTCCAATCGCTAATATCTGCCCCAATGTTGAGCAAATATATGTGTTTAACGTTTGGATTATTGTGTTTTATTTTTTTCAGTAAAGCATTTTAGCAGAAGTATGACTATATGGTTATTATGCTGACTGGCGAATTTTCATGAAGGTTTTAGCCTGTTATTTTCATGAAGGTTTTAGCCAAGGCTTGTTGTATCAAATGCCCACAAATAGGCATAAGCTGATGCGTAGATCTTGAGTTGCAAAGCATAACCAATCAGAAAAGCTAATCTCTGAATTTACATTGATGGAACTCTCTCGGACAAGATGAAAAAATTGCAAAATTTATTCCCTGCTCTTCTGTTAACCCGTCTTTGTTTCTGTCTGTCTGTCTCTGTCTCTGTCTCTCTCTGTCTCTCTCTCTGTCATGATGGATGAACTACACACTTTTCTTTTCAATGGACATTCATGTTCTTGCAAAGTTGTATTTTCTGTTTAACCGGTTGAACAATTAAAAGAATAAAGAATGTTGCCGAAAGTTTTCACCTTATAAATCTTAGGGTGGCAAAGTGAAAACTACTAATACTGTCAGACACCGAGGGTTATTTTTCCCTAGCAGAAAAAGAAAAGTAAAAAGCGACCATTCTTTTTCGTTCCTAACTTTTAAATGATGTCTAGTTAAATGGAACTCTTTCATTTGTATGAATTTCATATTCGGGCTTCATAGTTAGAATTGTCATTAGAGCTTCAATAATTATCTCAACTTTAGCCAAGTCATTGTGACCCATGAAGCATGGTTCTGTCCAGTGTGACTGAATGGAAGTCCCAACCACAAGTTAGAAGGTTATGAAATATTAGAAGACGTGCAAATATTATATGAAGGCAATGAAAACATTAGGGAAAAAAGTAAGGCTAAAACAAAACAACAATAGATGGAACAGAAGACATTTTGTTGTGTGATACAAGGGTGTTTGTTGGAAGTTGGTGACAGTGATGGCTAGTTAGTCTTTGTCAAGAGTCAGTTGAAGAAATGGTAGGTTTTCTTCTTGGAATGAAATAAAGGGATTGAATTTATTATTGTTGTTGAGTTTTTGGGTTTCCAATACTGTATCTGTGGGTTTTGGCATCCAGTGAATTGAATATACATTTCAGATTGTGCATGTTTTATACTCATATACTTGCAGGAATTGCAGATATTTTATACTTGTATTGCTAGGTAGTTGCAGGAATGGTGTTCTCTACTTTTTGCTTTGTCCTGTAAACAATGAATTGTCTATTTGTCAGTATGGTTTCACTGTGATTTGGGACAGCAGAAGTAAGAAATGTCTACGCCTTATGGGGCGTCATTGTCAGTCTCTTTTGTATGTGTCGAATATTGGAGAGTTGCTGCTATAATTTCTTTGTTTCTCTCTTTATTTTGTTGAATGTCATGAAAGTATCTGGTTAGAAGTATAAGGTCTTTTTAATCCAACTATGAAGCCATTAATCATCAATGAAGATAGCAAAGCATGATTAAATCATCATGTGTGAACAATAAGAATAAAGCAGAAAGCCATCTTTTTCTTCATAAATTTTTCATTGAATAGGGTTGACCATCTAGTAATATGGTTCTTTGGAAGGGTATATAGTAAAGGAAGGGACACACTGATTTTCTGTTTGATTTCTTTGGTAAAGTTTGAAGGGTGCATACTCTTGATTGATGCATCTGATGTTGTATTATACTTTTTAAAATGTAAAAAATTTCCTATTAATATGCAGGGCCCTGAAAAATGATTTCTAATGGAAACTTATCTGCTCCTGTTTCCTTTATGTACAAGTGAAACCTTAAGGTCTTTCTTGATTATTATCCATTTGAATTTTGTTTTCGTTTTTGTGAAACCAATGTAATAATATTTAAATAACCAAGATGAGTATTCAGAGCCAACCTCAAACTAAGTTTAGGTAACTGATAAGATCCTCTTAGGGTGTCATGGTTAAAGTATACAATTAAAGAGTCATTTTCCCTCGAGTATGGTACTTAGAAATGACGATTTACATTTCCATATAGTTTTTCTGTCACAGCAAAGATATGGACTGGTCATTTCATGTCTTGTTCTAAAGATTTAAACTACTATGTTGAATTTAATTTAGTGGGTGAATTGTAGATGTCAGGTGGGGAGAGATTTCTACCCTGTGGTTGTGTTATCATATATTTTTGGAGACCTTAAGGAATTATGGTGCAGGAAAATTTAAAAAAAATGGAGCACAACGAGACAGGGTGCCAAGCTCCTCCTGAAGCTCCCAAGCTCTGTGCCAACAACTGTGGATTCTTTGGAAGTGCAGCAACAATGAATTTGTGTTCCAAATGCCACAAGGACTTGGTATTGAAGCAAGAACAGGCTAAAGTTGCTGCAGCATCCATTGATTGTGCTGTGAATGGCAATCCCAATGACAGAGGGAAGGAGCCTATTGCTACTGTTGATGTAGATGTACAAGCTGGGTCTGCAGATTTGATGCTCATCTCAACACAGGCTTCCTCTACTCCATCTTTGGACATTAAGAGTGAGGAGAAGGTGAAGGAGATTCCAAACAGGTGCGGAACTTGCAAGAAACGTGTTGGTCTAACCGGCTTCAATTGCCGTTGTGGAAATCTCTTTTGTTCACTCCATCGTTACTCAGATAAACACAACTGCCCCTATGATTACCGAAGTGCTGCTCAGGATGCTATAGCAAAAGCCAACCCGGTTGTGAAGGCAGAAAAGCTGGACAAAATCTGATAAATGTCTCGGAATGAGGGTTCATCTTTTTATCTATTGCACACATGCTCTCATTTCTACCCATGTGGCTTCTGCTTATGTTAAGTTGATCTTGTTGTGTTAGGTCTCGTGTTATAGATGGTTGGAAGCTGTTGTGGGAGTATTTCAAATGTCAGGAACGATTGTGTGTAATAATCCCAGCCTTTGGTGAGGGCCGGGAGGCGGTCACTTGGCTTTGCTATGGATGATGTTTTGGATCTTGTTTATTTTGCTTGTTGAGTATTTAATTTAATACAAATTTATAAATAAACCCAATTCTAAATATGTATTTATAAAAAAACCCAAACACTATTTAAACATAGAAACACACCCAAAATTAACCCCAAAGTCAACAATTGTATATTTTTTGGGTGTGTTTATAAATGGGCTTTGAGTGTGTGTAATGATGGGTTTTGGGTGTGTTTATAAAGTGTTTTAGGTGTTGGGTTTTTTTATAATTTCAGCTCCCATTTTGGGTGTTTTAGTGAAACTCCCTTAATTTAAAGCCAAAGTAGTAGTATGCTCAAGTAACGCGCGTGTAATGCTTGTAGGTTTTTTTCTCTCGGCCTTACCCTCATTTGGTTGTTCGGCTTGGATTGAATTGGAGTTGAGTACTAGCCAAGGTCTCTTTGAATCCAACATTTATAAGTTCATTAAACAATAGTGAAAATAGTTCAATCAAACCCACCCAAAGTTGGAAAATAGAATAATTTTCAGAAATTCTAATAACTTCTTAATACTATTCCCCTAACTTTAAATATAAATATGCTCTTCAGTCATGTTTTTATAACACGTGAAACACATGCTGTTGACTAGATTAATGTGTCTTAGTTAATACTATAAATAGATAATAAAGAGGAACACTTCCATCTTATACTCTTCTTATATAGATTTATGTATAAATAGAGTACACGTAGAATAAATTAAACGAAGAATACAAGGAGGATGTAGCTAGCACATAGATTTATATATGAATAGAGTACACGCGGAACAAATTAAACGAAGAATGCAAAGAGGATGTAGCTAGCATTCCTCGGTACCAAATAGCATGCCAATTAACACTACATGGACCAGATTAATCTGTATCTTAATTAAGCCTAATATTTATACTAAAAATAAATAATAAGATGTATATGATGAACCTTTTAGGTAGGATGAGCATAGGGCCCACACACGCCCATCCTAATCTTAATATTGTTGGAAGTTGAGGTCAGACGCTGGTGGTGGGGCCGGGTCATCTGCGACCGACCCTTTTTGCCCACTTGCTATCCAACAAGGTACGTCGGCCACGTGTGAACCGCGTGGCATCCAATCAGAGCCGTCTATCTCACCGTGTTTGACTTTGCGATAACAATTAGTCACTATCCTTTGGACCCAGTCAAGTGGTGGGCTCAACCCACAGCGGTTCTCAGATTATGCCGCTGCATTAATTTATTATTAGTGCTGAGAGAGAGAAACAGCTGCGCTCTTTCAAAACCATGGCCGTGAAAAGACTTTGAAATTCCCAAACAACATTACCTATTTCTAAAAAGGATATTATTTCCCTTCTTACCATGAAAGAGGTATTTTTATTTTCTGCAAATCAAAGTTTGATATATATATATAATTTATAAAAAAATATAAAAAGAAAAATCTCAACATACGTATTAAACTGTGATTAACAGAAAAATAGAAATTCCTACTTCGAGAAAAGGAGGCAGATATTTTCCTATAAAAAATAAAATCAAAAGAGAAACTGACCCAACGGGTAAGTACAAACCATATTCATGTACTTGTCCTTAAGTTACATTTTGGTGCTCTAACTAAATTATTCGTTCTTTTTAATTGAACTAGACTTCGTTGGTTTTTCCCTCCTATATTCCTATTATGTAGTTACAACATTAAATCAATATCATAATTTCCATACATTGATATTGTTCCGAACTTATATTAACCAAAATAGAAACATTGTAGTTAAAATCTTAACGTAACATGGGGAAAGTAGGTGAACGAAACTGAAATAGTTTTTGCGTTGTTTATTTTTTCTTTTTTGTCTTGTTTTGTTTTTGCGGTGAACAGCAGTATTGCGTATTTTGTTTGGCTCCTCATATTGGCACACGTAGAGGAGGGGAGACGACGACGCGTGTGACGTACACGTGTGCGTTGGACGAGGACCGAGAGAGTGACTTTTTTCCTGAGACAACGAAATGGGTCAGTCAGATAGGGCGGCTTCGCCTTATAAAGCTGGACGCGAGAAATTGCCCCTGTCACCGCCATTCCCCCAGTGGGGCTTTCTAATTTTTCCCCGTTTTCCATTTTGCCCTTCCACTTGCATTGCAATTCTTCTAGGATCCCGTACATTTTTAATTTTATTTATTTATTTTTGTTTTGCTCTTCTTTTACCCATGCAATGCAACAACAAAAAACAAAAAAACTATTTACTCCTTTCTTCCTAGTGGACGACAGGAAATATCCCTCTCACCTCACACCCAACTTTTTAATTATCTTTTTCAAATTCTTGTTTAATTAATACTATCATCTTCGCACGCGCGCTTTCATGTTTTTTTTTTTTTTTTTTTTTTTATTTAAAATTTATTTTAGAATTAAAAAAGATAATAAGTAAGGTTGCTTCCATAAAAATAGAATCCATTATATGATTTTTCTTTTAATTTTAATTTTTTAAATATAAAAAGTGCGAATTTATCATATTATCCTAATTTAATTAATAATTTCAATTCTTAATGTTTGCAATAATCAAAAGCATTTTTTGATATTTTGAATGTTTTACTATTATCTGCGTTTTGCTTTATACATACATATATATATATATATATATTCAGCTTAATTTCATGATGGTTTTTTTGGTTTTAAAAAAAAATCTTTTTTAAAGAATGAATAAAAAGAAAAAGAATATGAAGCTTTATAAGACATGCATACTTTACCATATGAAATAAATTTTTGTAGGCTAAAGATGTCAATCACCCTAATTTGGGAAGGCATCCATGAGGCAGCTTTTATTCCAATGCAAGATAATTAAAGGTAGAAAAAAAAAAGTAAGAAATTGCTTTTCAAGCATTCTTTTTATATGTGATAGCTTTATAGCAAATCATGAGAATGACTAAATAAGGGGGTTTCGTAATTTGGAAGCAATTGTTGTGTAGGATAACTTAAAATCTCACTAATTTTTTAATTGTTAAAATAAAATCAAAATATTAACATGCATTCGTTATAATATAAATTGAGTTTTGTTTTTGTTTTTTGATCAAAGAGCAACTTCAGGAAATAAACTTTAACTATACAGTTAAAGACATCAACATGACATCTAAAACACCAATTCTAAGAGGACAACAAACTAACATGCTAAAAACAAAACTAAAACGAACAAAAATTGCGCTAAAACTACTAAAGCCACTAGGGTTCCTAAATCGTTGATTTGTTCGTAGTTCCCTACTTGGAACTCCTCTTAATTTGAGTGTTGTTATTCGAACGATCTTAACGACTATATCGTTTATTTTTTCTCCTACTATCTATGACCGAAATGGCACACCAAATAATTATTGAGAAGGTATAAAGTGATTTTTCTAATAGTATGCATGTGAGTCCACTACATAACAATGAAATGAGAACAATTGCATAAGAGTAGAAACCAATTAATTTGTGTAAAAAAAATGAATAAATAAATTATCGTATGATTGATGAACAATTATTCAAATAAAAATCCAGACAGACGAATTCATCTTTAATCTTTTGAGTTATTTATATTGGAAATAAAGAAATGAAAAAGAAATTAGAACATCCGCCACCAATAGAATCAATCAGACGGCTGCATATTGATATCATGCTACATGTGGGTAAAATGCGGGTCCCACCCAACCTTAAAATAAGCTTTGTCAGGGATAGCCTTTTCTCAATAATGACGATTACCACGTCAGAACCAATCTAGAACAAGCAACCTAAGCCAAACCAAAGAACCAAAATAATTAAAAATAAAAGTTTAATTTAATTTAATTTAGTTTAGTTCTTTAAGCAAAAGGTCATAATTAAAGAAAAAGAGGAAGGGTATTTTGGTAAAAATAAAACGCAGAAATGTTTTATACGCGTCTGTATGAGGCCCATATTCCATCGCCATTACCGACCTTTCAGTCCTTCATATCCCCATTTCTCTGTCTCCTCCCTCGCCCACCCAAACCTCTCAAACCTCTCTCTTCTCTCTCTCTCTCTAGAAACCACAACTTTCTTTTTCTCTCTCTAGAAAACCTCAACCTCCATATACTTTCTATCTATATCTCAAGAAAAAAAAAAATCAGAGAAGAGAAGAGGAGAGATCGATCGATCTGAAGGAATCTGAATGAAAAAAATGGCTCAGAGAACGGAGAAGGAAGAGACGGAGTTCAAGGTCCCCGAAACTCTAACGCACTGCGTTAACAACTGCGGCGTCACAGGCAATCCCTCCACCAACAACATGTGCCAGAAGTGCTTCAACGCCTCCTCAGCCACCACCACAGCAACCTCATCTTCGGCTGTGACTTTGAAGTTTTCCGGCGAGAAAAGTCCGAGATCTAGCTCCTTTAGCTTCGAGGCTCCGGCCGAGATCACCCGCAGAACGACGGCGTCCGAGATCGCGAGATCGGACGAATCGGCGAATCGGCGAGTGGTAAACCGTTGCTCCGGATGCCGGAGAAAGGTCGGGTTGACCGGATTCCGGTGCCGGTGCGGCGAACTCTTCTGCTCCGAGCACCGGTACTCCGACCGCCACGTGTGCAGCTACGACTACAAGGCCGCGGGTCGCGAGGCCATCGCGAGAGAAAACCCCGTGGTCAAGGCCGCGAAGATCGTCCGGGTTTGATAATTAAATTTGTAGAAATGAAACCAAAAACATTTCTGAATTTTCTCGGGAAAATTAAAATTAATTCTCGAGAAAGTTTCAGAGGAAATTTGTGCTCGATTATCATGGCGTCTCTCTCTCGGAGATCATCACCGATGGTTTAGATTGAGGGAAACACTTTTAGGAGCAGAAGAGACGACGGAGAGAGAGATCGCTTCGTTACTGAAGAAAATCAAATTCTCTCTGATAATTATTTTTTTAATTTTATTGTGTTTTCTTTTCTTTTGGCTTGGAAAATGATAAAATTATTGTGATTTACGATATTCGATGTGTTTGTTGGTAATAGTTGGTGTTCAGCTTTTTCTGGTTTTGATATTTCTTTTTCTGCGATGTTTGAATGGCAGTTGAATGTTAATTCGAAGAAGAGACAGGGTGTTTTATGTCATTTCGAAACTTTGCAACTGGAAAATCCAGTTGGGAGGAGGGTTGAAAGCTATGGGGCCCACCGTATGGGCAACTTAGGGGGCGCATTCAATTATTTATTTCTCGCGATGGAACGAGATGATAACTTGATACGAGTGGGTATATTGCCTAGGCGAGTTGAAGAGGGCGTATGGGAGGGTGACACGTGTGCATGGCATAAACCATTAAAGCTGTAAAGTATGAAGTGAGGTGAAGGGAACATTTGCGTATGATAACTGGTCGCTGTTTTCAACAAAAAAGGAAGGGGTGGGGGCGAGGATCTCGAGGGATTCAGAGATCTGACGGCCGAGATTGAGTAGCGGTGGGTGTAAAGAATAGATGACGTGGATGAGTGCGCATGCATACACTTGCATGGTGGGCCATGCATGGGGGGGTTTGTGTGGGGACCACATGTAGGTAGGTCCGCCTTTCGTGACCTTTCAGTCACATGAAAAGCTGTCAGAAAAGTACATATGTATAATGTATTATTATGTGAATGTGAATGTGTATGTGTATGTGTATGTGTGTGTATGTAACGACGTCGTCGAAGTGCTGAGTTTTGTCTCTGGGGAGTTAGGGTTGGTTGGAACTTGGAACTTGGAAGCAGAGTTGTTTCCTGCTAGGCAGTGGAAATGTAAAGTGTCTGAACGACGAGGCGTGCGACCAAATGAGTGTGGCATCACCTACAAAATTAATTAGCCTCCCACCAATTAAGGCCACAAATGAATTAAATGGTTGGATTGGACTCGTAAGGCTAGACTGGAACCAAACCCTGCTTGGAAGCCTGGTTTCGTGTCATGATGATTGATCGTTGTTTGGTGAACTTATAAATAATCAGATTGACCTTATTAAATTGAATAACAATTCCTAATATTATACATATGAATCTTGTCTAAAGAAACATGATTCGTAAAGGCGGACTTGAACTTAATTCCAATTTAGTACAAATCGAGCAACCAAACGAGACCTTGAGGCGCAATTCCGACCCTCTTAGTCACTTGGAAGAAGATGATGAGGATCATTCTTGGTAATGTTTGTTGGGAGCAGCTAATGCTAAGGCTCTCTTTCCCCATAATAGAAGTGGAACATGTTTTGCACTGACGGGAAAATCCACCCAATCTAAGGCTAAATCGTGTACATGACGCACCATGACCTATCTTGCAAATTAATTGAGGTTGGCTAATTTTGAAAATTCTAGTACGGATGGTAATATGAAAAACCGAATTGTTGAAAATATAAAATATTTAAGCGTTGACCACATGCATGTTGCCGTGTACTACACGTAATTTTTTGTCATAAAAATAATCCAATTTGAATCCCTGAATCCTTCAAAATCAGGTAAAAATAAAACTGTCGTATTTGTTTATATGTGTTTGTTTTGTTTGTCCTTGAGTAAGGTAAAGCCTAAAATTATGGTCAATTAGGCGGAGGCTCCCCGTGTTGATTTTTGATTTTATTATTTTAGGGGTCAAATCCTGGGGACAAATTATATAGAACCAAATTTTGGACCCAGTTTCGTGCCAATTTATTTCACAAGGGCCAAAACATAAAATAATTTTTTTTTAAAGAAAAGGTGCACAAGGACCCACTTTCCTAATCACCAAAATCATGTCATCACATGACTTATTAGCAGCCCATACCATTCAATTCATATACTTAATAATGAAGTTATATTAAGGATAAGTACATAATCAAAGGAGGATGACGAATGTGAACCCGAAACCTCAAATCTAACAATTTATACGAGATTTGAACTCGAAACCTCTCTATTGAAATGGTTTAAAATAAAAAGATATAGTTTGACATTTTTTATTTATGACAATTTAGGGTTTAACCAGTTTTTATGGGTTTAGTGATGGTCATATCATGGAAGTTGTTGGGTTTCCAGCTGTCCATAGAGAGCTGAAGTTGCCGACTCCTTGTGTGGGACGCTTTTCTTAGAGTTCAATAATTTGGTTATGTTTTGTAACATCGACTACAATGCGACACTACTTGTCATCTCCCTCTTTGTTCCTTATGTTACACACATCTCCTCTCACCCTTACTTGCTCCACATGTTTCTCATGCCTAGCTGATCTGGCGTGCCAAGTTGTCGCATAGGGTGATATTTATGCAACAACGAAATATCTAGTTAATTAAAGTGCTCGTTTGAGAGTGATTCTAGAGATGCCAATAATCACTTTTATGGAGAATTATTTTTTAAAATAATTACTTTAAATGATTTTAAGTGATTTTATGAAGAAGCACCTGGGAGGTGCTTCTCCCTAGAACCATTTAAAATCACTAAAAGTGAATTTTTTGGAGAAGCACATCCTCCTTCTCATAAGTGATTTTGGCATATCCAAAATCACTCTCAAACGAGCCATAATGAATTTGTAACTTAAGTTATTAAAAACATTTATTCCAACGCCACATTTGACACCCAACTATTTTCTCAACCTTCGTAAAGTGGAGCATAGAAATGTTGAGTCAAACATTGCAAAAGAGTTTTAAAGTCTTTTTCCTCCATCTCTCTTATGTGATTTTTGCTGTTGATCCATCTTAAATTTAGTGGAATTGAAAAGAATATATCTCTATGTAGCTAGGAAAAATGGGGGAAAAGCATATATGTCAAAGAACCACTAGATTTGAGAGAAGATCAAAATGCCAATCAACAAAGTGGGTCGTAAGGGGGAGGGCACCATACAGCTATGCAGCAAATTTTCAATTGCCCAAAATGGCTGTCAAAAAATCAAAAGACATCTCATTGGTTTTTCCCCAAGTGTGGCTCTAAGCGATTCATGTTTCCACTGGACTACTTTATATATACTTCTCATACAATACAAGCCACTTATTTTCATGGATAATGCCTCCACCTCGCACCATGGTCAAGATCATTTAAATGGACAGCTTCATCAGATCTGGCTATTTTGTTACCAGAAACTCCCAAAAACCCCATCACATATTCCTGCAAAGGAATCCATATACAAAAAGCAACGTAAAATGACAACTTTATATTCAAGTGCGCATGAGGACAGGCGACCCCATTGAAATTTCTTTTATTTAAAAAGTTAGTGGAGGAGAGGCCCAATAAGCACTAGAAATTATAAAATACTACGATAATATAGTCACGTGACATATTTTGTAACACGTGTTATAATATAGATAGACATTAAAGTTTATTTTCTCTCTTTTTAGTTTTAGGGAATAGTATCAATAAACATCCACTAGTATTATAACACGTGTACAAGATATACCACGTGACCGCATTACCATAGTATTCTATAATATCAAAATTTTAAAAGTTAATTATCTTTTTATCTTTCTTTTTTAAAATGGAAAAATTATATCAAAAGTCTGTTTGATCCAAATGATTAAATGCCATTCAGTGCAAAAGAATCTTCAGAAAATCCTCTTTTCCACTGGCCAAATGATTAAGCAGTCTCCTTGATGACATCTTCCACGCCTGTTCAACTAAATAATGCAAGGGTCACAGCTTTAAAAGATATCTACTAGTTTACCGGTCGCGGCAACCTCTTTCTGTGCACATCAAATATTACTACAATGCTTTCTAAAGCATCTCTCACTATATCATTCTGCACCAAGGCCAAAGAACGACACGCTTCACGGTGAAAACAAATGAAGCAACAAAGAAAATCCTACTAGAATTGTATGAAACTCAGGTAGGAATCGAATTTTACAATGTTACATAACTACATTGACAGGATGACACCCAAAAGACAATGAGTTTCATTTTTAGAAGCATCCAATAACACCTAGAACAGTTTTACTACTAGAATCTAAAACGAACACAGAGTAACAAACATTTTAATGTTTTACATTAGTTGATAATCAAATGTTCATGGTATTTAAAGACCAAGGTCCCCACAATCACCCCATCATGGTTTCTTAAAAACTGTGTTGTGAGGAGAGGCAAAGCAAGTTCTCCGTTTTAGGCACCATCTGGCTGGCTAAAAGGGTTTGCAATCTCATCTGTACCATCTGTTGGCGACACAAGCATTACAGCAGTTCCCCTACAAACCTGCGGGACAATAATGCACACTCAAACTTGTTGTAGAGAATAATTTGAGAAAAGAAAGAGAAAAAAAGCCATGAGCTCCAGCATCAACTTCCTCTTTTTTGCCTTTTTGTTTTACTTGATAATACAAACATTACCAATGAATATTTCTTCACAAAAACACATTACAGCAGCTTTAGCCTAGCTAAAAAATAACAGGATAGCTTTCTAAACAAGTTAGGCAGCCAGAGAAAAGTTACAATATTAAGTCGGCAAGATGGAGAAATGCATAAGCACTACTGAATTTTTTTTTTCTTTTTTTCGTTCTGAAACACTAGTGAATTCAAGAAAGTTATTTTACTTGCTAAATAACTTATGGTTTTGGAGAGTTCTCTGGGCACTAGCACTTGACATTAACGGATGAATTGAAATAGAAGTTGATGATTCCATCGAAAAATGCACATGGAGGATTATTTGGATGAAACTAGTTCGGAGACTTACTTTGTATAATGCTGATGGCCCAAAAAAGAAAAGTGAAATTTGTGAAGCCTAAATTGGATAATACTGGTCTTCAATGGAAGAAGAAAGCTGAAAAAGGCAGTTTTCTGAACATGGGGAAAATAAAAATGCAGAGAAACTTTTAGCAGCTGACTACATGATTGAGTTGTATCAGAAAATTCACTCACTAAAGCAAAAGGATGAAATTAAGGACTGTAGAGGAGTACAATTACGCATTCTGTAATCCCTCATATTAAATTGGTTTGAATTGGTTAAGTAACGAGCATTTAACATCTCTTTATCTTGCAGAGTTAAATCAATCAACTATAGATGAGATGGGAGTTTTGCATTTGTTCAACCCAAAAGGATAAAATATGCCTCAATGGGAGAGAAAGAGGCATGGTGCTATGGTGCAAGAGGCCCTTCCAGGGAAGAATGATGGTGCAGCACCTGTGAATATAGCAGTTGTTTGGAATGTTTCAAGTGAGCAAAGCAATGAAGCTGGGACAAGATGCTACCAAAACCAACAAACACATGGTAGACATGTTGCTAATATTGACCAGGTGAGAAAGGGAAGGATATAGTGAGAGATGATGCTAAAACCAGCTTTCTTTCAGACTCTTATGAGGTCGTCAGCAAGCTGCAACGTTGTTCTTACTCTTTTAGGGAGAGTGAAACTGTTCCTATACATAGCCACTATGATGGGTGAACACCAGAGAGTGAAGAGGAATAGTAAATGTTACTGGAGTCTGTATTTGATGTTGGCTACTGAATTTGGAAAGGAACTGATGTACCAGTCACTTCCAGATGTTTAACTATATTATATCACGGGTAACAAAATTGAAGATGACGTAAGTGTGATAAGGAGCCTATGCATGTTACATTCTGTTGGACAGGCCAAGTTGCATGATAATAACAGGATCCTTAGATTCTTTCTTTTCTAATTTTATCCAGCAATTTTCATCTCTCCCCTTAATACTATATTCTCACCGTTGTGATGTGATCAGACTTTCAGAAAGTATCAGAACCAACCATACCCCAAATCCTAACAATATTAGTCATAGTTCACTACCATTAAACCACCACCGAACATCTATGTATATATGTATGTATGCTTGAAGTTTTAGGCGCTGGTTTAAGATTCAACATCAGAGATATACTAGAAGAATACATACTATTAGGCCAAGGCGCCTGGTCTGGTCTGTAGTCTTCAATGGATCATCAGAATCTGCAATGAAGGGGGAAAATTCTTACATCAAATTTATCATATCCACTAGTATAGAAAAGTTACAAAACTTATCATGACAAGAACCTGAAGAGACTAAAACTCCTAGAAAATTTTCAAAGTCATCTAATTCCTGCCTTCTGTGCTGTAAGTGTCTTTCTTGAGTACAAGGATGCTATAAATTAAAACGCACACAAGGCAAAAACAGTTTCCGGAAGGCTACAAAACATTTACCTCTTAGAAACTCTACTGCTTCGTCTAGGACAAGGTTTAACAACTGGTCATATCCTTTTAGAGTCCCTGTTACTGTAATCAAATTCAAAACAGAAAATTAAATTGCGTACACACAATAGATAATTATAAAAATAATAAATTTCTCATTGATATTTTCCTAAACAGAAAAATGTAAATCCTGTTGACATTATGTTTGAAGCAAAGAGGTGGGATAACCTATTATGACTCAGCAAGTATCTATTCACTGTTGCCACATACCCCAGATTAATAAAATATTTACTATACAACCTACAAATGGTGTAAATTTCTACATTCTGAATCTTAGACATTGTTTGATTGGATGTTACAACTCCTATTTATTGGTTTAGAAACGAAGACTGCTTGAACTTTGACCCTCTAAAGCAGGGAAAATACTTCCTTAACCGTAACGGTAATCAAATGACTCATAACCCTTACAAATCCACGAAAAATGGAGGAGAGAGATAGACCAGTAGGCTATAGGCTAGTTATAGCTAGAATCTTTTACACATTGATCAAGAATTCAACAAAACTAGATAGTAATTATTTGAGAAAGAGAAATGGGGAGTTGAGCAAAGTGTACTAACCTTGTCTACCACCAGTCAGCTTGACTTGGACACCTTTGTCCACAAACTTGGCCAGGTCCAAGACTGTTTCTTTCCTCCCTGACTGAAACACAAAACACAATTTCACTCACAAAATATAAACACCAAATCCAAATGTAAGCCAAGCCAGGATATACAATCAAAAGTTTCTGTGTCTTTTCTCGCTGGTTTCAAACTTACCATCTTATTTGGCTCTGTTCAGTTCTTCAATTGGATGATGAAGCTCTGCTAAAAAACCCTAAAAAGCTAAACTTGAAAAATATTTAATAAAAACAAAAAACAAAAGTTAGTCAATTGAATGACAAATATAAAAGTAATCAGGAAGAGAAAATAAAGCATCAGAGCAAAAAAAAACTTATTCAATTGAATGAAAGATTTGACAGGTACCAAATAGCAACACACCAATTGACCTTTTGAGTGTAGACATGCATAAACACTTATCAAACATTAGGGTTTCTGAAACCCTAACTTTTACAAGCTATATATAACCACGAACACATTAATATAATGAGAAAATTAAAATTTAACGGAAAACAATAAAGAAATCAAGCATAAGAGGTGAAAGCCAGTACCTTTGTCTCTCTGCTGATCTTCCAATTGTGGGTTGAACGGAAAAGGAGCTGATCGGTTGCCTACCTTTGGAAGTTGGGAGATATGAGACGATGAAGAAGATGAGAGGCAGCACCGGACAGAGAGTGGGAGCGGGAGCTTAATAAGGGTTTGAGTCTCTTTTATTTATTCTTTATTTTTATTTTATGAGTATAAGGGTGTTTTTTGGGGGGGTCAATTATAAGTAAGGGTTAGTCTTGAATCTTCCTTCTAAAAATCCACAAAAATCACTACTTTTTTTTTGGGTTTACAAAAATCACAATTTGTTTTTAAATGAGGGAAAGGTTAGAGGGAGATTGACTACTCTCACCACCAGTGTCGACTGGTATAAATTCATATAGGAAATTATAGATTGTGCACTAATGAGAATTGTTGGTAGCGGAACTCGAACACTAACGGAGCTACACACAGTGCAGAGATCTTACCAATTGAATAAACTGTCATTGGTAAAAAACACTACTTTTCAATTCCCTTAAAAACTGACATTTTGAATTATTATTTTTGCCAAATTATGATTGAATACCACCAAATTACTATTTTTTAGATTTTAATTGGATATCCATTGAATTTCTACGCTTCATTATTAGAATAAAAATATTTGAACAACAACACTTGAAATGATTATGTACAATGAGTTACTAAAATTTATTTATTTTTATCGTTTCCTTCTTATTTAAATCTTGACATACATATATATATATATATATATGAATTGTAGTATTCCAAACAAAACAACCATATAGTGATATAAATCTGTAAATTGAAATTGTTTCATCTAACAGACTCTTAAATTTCACGTTGTTTTAATACAAGTGATCTTAAAGAAAGTAAATTCAAACACAGGGCGTCGGGTGCATGAGTAATTGCAATAAAATTGTTGTGCAGCTGATTGTTTGACCGAGCTGGGTGGGTCTGTCTAGAAGTTTGGGTCTCATTTGCCTGAGGATGCCACGAAAGCAGTTTGGGCTGTGGTGTTTGGTTGGGCCTGACCCAGTTTAACCCACAAAGAAAATACAGCAAATGGAAAGACAAAAACAACCTTGAGCTTTTGTGTACTTGTAAGGGCAATGCTGTAGTTTAAAAGAAAAGTTAAGGGCATTTCACGAAAAGCCCATCAGTATATGATCCGCCGTTAACGCCCTAGGGCTTGTTTAGCAGCCGAGGGAGCAAGTTCATTGCTGGTGAGTGGAGGTCGTCGTCGTCGTCTGGTTTGGGGATCGCATAGCTTCAACAATGGCGGATAAGGGCGGAAAAGGAAGAAAGGAAGAGGTCGTTACCAGAGAGTACACCATCAACCTCCACAAACGCTTGCATGGATGGTAATCCCTCCGTCCATGTTCGTTACTTTTGTACTGTTCTTGCTAATGGGTTAAGATCTGCGTTGAAGGAGGTTAATTTAGTCTTGTATTTGTTTTTTTAATGCTTATATTCTGTGTGTTTTCTGAGCAATATGTGCTTACATAGTTGATATGATTCTTCCTGATTTATTTTATTTGATTTTGATCTTGCGCGTCTCCTATTATAATTTGTAATTTTTGAGACTGAAATAAAAAGAATTTGATTACCAAGATGTAGAAGCTATAGGGTGTTATAAATTTCTTTATCAAAAGGCATTGAGATGACTTATTTTCAAAGCATCACATCCATTTTTAAAAGTCAGTGGCTGCTCTTTATGAGACTCAAAATGATGGTAGTGAACCCTGTTGTCGTTATAAACTGTTATTTTGTTCCCTCTCAGGAAATTTGTTTGCTTTAAGTGGATTTTATTATGTATTATATGAAGTTTCATGATCATATTTTCGTATTCATTTGTGTTTTTGTTGGGCTTGATACGCCCCCAGTCAGTATCGTTTTGCACAAGCAGTTGTTTTCTTGTTTATAAATTTTGTTTTAGTTGTGTGAATTGATCTCTGACTTCAATTGAATTTCAGCAGTAATAGCCAAAGCCAAAGCTGGTTAAAAAACATTTGCTTTTGTATACATGTCATGTACCTAAATTCAAATGTATTTGGGTGGTTATGTGATGACATTACATTTCTAGACTTTGTGTGTCACCAAATTTGAATATGTTTAGATCAATTTTCCTGTGTTCTTATAATATCTTTCTGAATGATGCATTGATGAGAAACCTGCCGGTTTAACGATCTAAAAGAATGAAAGTTTAACTTGATATGAGGACCCGTCACAGTTTAGTTTTTGCTTAGAAAATTTCTGCATCTTTGAGTGTAATGTTGCAGACTCCATTTCTGCTGTATTCCTTTGTTTTGTCTATGTTAAGCATCAGCTGTGCAAATGATTTAAGTAACCTATATCTTGATTCTCATGCAGCACATTTAAAAAGAAGGCTCCAAACGCGATAAAGGAAATCAGGAAGTTTGCTGAAAAGGCTATGGGTACTACAGATGTTAGAGTGGATGTTAAGCTCAACAAGCACATTTGGAGCCGTGGGATTCGAAGTGTGCCTAGAAGGATACGCGTCCGCATTGCACGGAAGAGAAATGATGAAGAAGATGCCAAGGAGGAGTTATACTCACTAGTCACTGTTACAGAGGTCCCTCCAGAGGGATTTACTGGTTTGGGCACCAGGGTGATTGACGAAGAAGACTGAACTAGTTTAAATCCCTTGTTTTTTCTCCCTTCTAGTTAGGTAATTCCAATTTTGGCTGTACTTTTGTTTACTTGAGGATGTGTGGTCTGATTTTGTCCATCTTGGAAATTTCTTCAGCAGAGCACTGCAAAATTCTTATGTGGTTCATGATTTCGGTCTCTTTTGATTGATTGTCTTGGCTAGTTTTAATGAATCCGAACTTTAATTGTCATTTGAAAAGTAAAAAATCAAAACCAAGAACTATCTTTTCTTTTCATTCGTTAATTTCTTCCCTTCATTTAATTAATTGGAAAAATAAGCGAAATAAGAAGGTTGTGGGTGGCCAATTCCTGAACCCATACCCACTCTCACCTCTTAACTTGGACTAATTACAAGGTTTTGTACAACATATTTATTGGCATTTTAACAACATAAGATGTCCAATTATTTAATAAAAATCATTTATTGTATATTAATTTCAGTAAAATTAGAATTTTTTTTTTTGGGGGTCAACAATGAAATGTTTATTTTGTTTTCATTATGATAATACTTCCCTTCTTACCATATAAGTATGAGCTCCTACATTCCTGCCAATAGCAGTATCACATGTGTACATACGTTTATCTTTTTGTGTTTTTGATGAATTATTTTTGTATATGTGTCAAATTGTGATTTGTGGGCACGAAAGAAGGTAGTAATATATTTTTAATTATAAAAATATTATATATATATATACACACACAGTCCCCTTCTATTGAGGAATCCCTTAAATAATTTTATTTGAAGGACACCTTTAGGGTACCCTACGAATTTTTTTCCAACGATCCAAACCATCTATTTTTTAAGTCTACATTCATAGATCATCCTTACAAAAATTAGACAATTCGGAAACCTTTTCAACATCTAATTGTATGCTACAAAATCAATGAACACGTTGCTTCAAGAAAGTACTAAAATTTCAATAACACAATTGAGTGGTCAAACGATATCAGATTTAAATGATTTTTTTATAGAGATGATCTTTGAATGATTATCTAAAACATAGACGGTTTGGATTAGTGAAATACAATGCAAAGTGGATCCTACATTGATGTTCCTCAAATAAGCTAATTTGAGGGATCTCTCAATAGAAGCTCTTTATATATATATATATATATTCTAAAAATTACCACTAAACCAATAGCTAGCTAGCTAGCTAAAAAAATAAATAAATACCACATAGTAAAACATAAGATTCTTTTTTGCACGTTTGTATTAATGCTGTAGATTTATATATATATTTAAATTTTTTGGGTGAACGAAAGAAAGTTTAGGGGGAAAAGTGGAAATGGAAGCAATCGTGCCCGCGAAGCTGTGTTTGAAACACAAGTATATAAAACTATATCGTCCCGCCAGTCCAATCCGGTCCTGCGCCAATAATAACAACTTGCTTCAGATATCATCTGCCCTCCCTCGCACCCAAACCCTAGAAGTTGCAGAACCAAACACATACACAGTGAGAGAGATAGAGAGATCGAGCGATTGGGATGCTGTTAATCTTCTACATTGCACTCTCGTAGATAAGGAGCCAATTAGGGATTGCAGAGAGAGGGGAATTGGAATTGGAATCGCGAATTTGGCATTACAATGCCCAAAGTCCAGATCGGTAATGATCTCTTTAATTCAACTTGTTGTTTATGTTTTTTATTAATCTGAATCTTGAGCTATATTTGTTCCTTGCATTTTGCCGAGATTTATGTGAAATTAATTGCATTTGCTTTGCTTGATTATTGTGTGTTTTCTTAGCATTGCTCTTCATTAGACCTGGTTGATATTTACTTGTTTTACTTATTTTTGGTTTTGTGATATTTATTTATTTATTTATGTCAAAACTCAGAGATGGGCTGTGACCCAATTGACAGTGAATTGGATGATGTCGACTATGTCTCTGGGCTTAGTACTTTACTTGTTGCCACCATTCAGGAAGCAAAAGACAGGATTTCTCAGA